CGGGCAAATTTGGACCAATGAGCCCTGTCTCAGCCTACTCAGCCCATGGCTAACCGTCAATGGCTTCTCAGGCCTTGGCTAGGCGTCAATGGCTTGTCAATGGCTCGTCGGTGGCCCCCCCTCTCACTGGTGGCACTACCCTCACCCCTCGTGCCCTGCGAGCTCGGCGCTGGCTAACACCCCCGTGCGAGAAATCGCATGGGGGTCACCGCGCACGCTGGCACCCTCAAGCAAAATTTTCGCTAGCACCGCGTCACCGTCGTTGACTTTCCTTACCCGCCATGGCCTCGGTACCGCAAGACGTCGAACAAACGAAAAACGCCCTCGTCGCCAAGCTCGCCGAGTTGAACAAGCTCTCGGGCGAAGCCATCACCGCCGCCCTCGACCACTTCAAGGCGCTCGACCACGGCGACGCCCCCAGCGACGCCCTCGCCCATCTCACCGATGCCCTCGCCGACACCTTTTAGACGCTGGCGGGGGTGTTTGCCACCCTNGACGCTGGCGGGGGTGTTTGCCACCCTCAACGGCACCGTCGCCCCCGCCGCCGACGTCGACCCCACCGCGTCCCAGGACGCCGACGCTGACGGCAAGGGCAAAAAGCCCCGCAAGAAGCGGGCCCCTCGCGACCCCGACGCCCCCAAGAAGCCGGTGACGCTGTTCTTCCTCTACCGCGACGCCGTCCGCGACCAATTGATGAAGGACAACCTCACCGAGGACGGCGTTCCCATGACCAACGTCGAGTTCACCAAGTTGGTGTCGGAAAAGTGGATGGGCGAGCCCGAGGACGTCAAGGCCAAGTACAAGGAGGAGTACACGCAGAAGTGGCTGCAGTACCAGAAGGAGTTGGAGGCGTACAAGCACAAGAAGGCGTTGGAGGCCGGCGACGCCGACGCCGACGCCCCCGAGGTCGTCGAGGTCGAGGAGCTGGTGACCGAGGTCGCCGCCCCGGAAGACGACGACGAGTCGGCGGAAGAACCCAAGCAGGAGCCCGCGGTGGAAACCAAGGAGAAGAAGAAGAAGCGCAAGTCCGAAGACAAGAGCAAGAAGACCGACGACAAGCCCAAGAAGAAGAGCAAGAAGAAGAAGTCGGAAAAGTCCGAGTGAACTATGAGACGATCCCTCCATGCTAGCGGCTGGCCCCGTCGTACCCTTGTATTAGTATCTAGACAAAAAGTGTAATAATATGTGTTTCTTTCGAGCGATTTAATTTATGGTAACGAATTCTCATTCAATAACTCGTGATAAGATTTACTCTCAAACGCTGTCGTTAGTCACCAGTGTCTGTTTGGTATCGTGTCTATTAGCTACCTTAAGCTGCCCTAGTGGCCCTTCTTCTTCTGCTTGTCGATGTGGGCCCGCAACAACTTCTGGCGGTCGCGCAACGACATCTTCTGCTTCCCCTTCACCGCCTTCTTGTGGATCATCATCACGAAGTTCTTCTGTCTCTGCTTCTCCTTGTTCGTCGTCAGGTGGGGGGCGTCCCGCTTGCCCTTGCGCGAGCCAAACTCGCGCCCTTCCCGCCCTTCCTTCGCCTGGGCGATCTTCTCTTCCCGCAACTGCTTGTACTTCACCGGGCCCACGAGCCCGTCCAGGTCGACCAGGTCCTCGTTCTTGAGCCCCATGATCTTCTCGACCCCGGCCTCGGTGCGTAACTCTTGCAATTTGGCGAAATCGGCGGGGGTCAATACTCGCAGCGAGAGAAGCTCCGTCATCGCCTTTTCCGCTTCCCGTTCACGAGCAAGCTCTTCTTCCAGCTTTTGCTTCGGCGCCACCGGCTCCGCTTCCTTATCGGCGTCAGGGTTGAGACGACGACGCTTTCTCTCGGCGATACGGGCTCTCCGGGCCTCGCGAGCTTCCTCCTTAGTCAACCGGCGTTTCTTGGTGGGCTTAGCGTCCCCGTCGGCGTCGTTGGTGTCGTCGTCATTATCGTCTTCGTCGTCACTCAAGTCCAAGTCCAGGTTTTCGTCATTGTCGTTGTCACCTTCAGGCTTGTCATCGTCGTCGTCGTCGCTGTCGCTGACGTCATACTCCTTATCCAGTTCCACCGTGACCCACTCACCTTCGATGTCACTGGCGTCGTCTTCGTCGTCGACTTCCCACGCGGCGTCGTCGGCTTCGTCGTCGCCGGGGAGCCCTTGTTCTTCACGCCATTTGGCCAACAATTCGAGCCCGGGAATGCCCAGAGTCGTCGACTCGACACCAAACTGAGGCAACCCTTTCTTCTCGCCCGCCTGGAGCTCCATCGACGCCGTCTTCCCGCGGTCCTTGCGGTGCAACATCTCGGGGGCCACCTCGCGGTACAACGTCACCAACGACCGCGCCGCCATCATCACCGGTTTCAGCTTCAGCCCCTTGTACTCGACAAGGTCCTGGAGCAACGTCAGGTCGATCGCCAACGGCGCCCGGCTAAGGATCTCGCGGATGGTGTTAAGCCCCGCCAGCGCCACCTCGGCGGCGACGCCGTCCAGCACGAACTCGTCGGCGATCTTTCTCACCACCACCGCAATCGTTTCCGGAGGCACAAGATCGTGCGACGCCTGGGCCGCCGCCGCCATCACCTGGGTGACGTTGCGCTGCTTCGGGGTCAAGTACTTGAGGAAAAACGTGTAAAGCCCCAACACCGTCAATTTGTGGGTGCCGACAAGCCTCAGCACGAGGTTCATGATCATGATCTTCTGGTCCAAGTCGAACTTGTTGGCGTTTTTGGCGCTGAGATGGGTGACGAACAAGTCGTCGGCGAACCCTTGCGGGTCGCGGAGCAAGTGGATGGCGGAGAAGTTGAGGTACGTCGCCAGGTGCTTGGCGCCGTTCTTCTTCTTCACCAGCTTCACCGCCATCTCGAGCTTCTTCGCCCGCTTCCCCAGCTTCTTGTTGACGTTCATCTTGTGTTTGAGCGCGTTCATGTCGAAGCCGTCTTCGTCACTCAGCTGGTCGTCAAACATGTCCTGGCGCTCTTTGTCGGCCCCCAAAAAGAACTTGACCCCGGAAATCGCCACCTTGGTATCGGGGTGGAGCGCCGCCTGGGTCATGATCTCCACCGTGCGCGAGTCGTCCCAGATGCCTCGCCGCCACAACTCTCTCGTCAACTTGGTCGCCCAGAGCCCCTGCGGGTCGCGTTGCTCGAGCAAATTGAAGAGCAACGCCTGTGTCTGGCGGTTCAACTTCTGGTTCTTCGCCGGGGTGTTGACGTTTTTCAAGAGCGCCACCAACGTCAGATAAATCTGCTTTCTTAACGCCTTGACGTTTTGCCCCGCGGCGAACCCCCCTCTCAGGTAGATCGTCAAAAGCGGGAATAACGTCTGGATCAACATCTCCAGCAGGATCACGTCCTTGTTGCGCAACATCGTCAACGTCTGGATAATCTTCTCGCGGAGGTCGGGCAGCAAGTCACGGTGGTTGGTGGTGAGGATCTCCTTAAGCTCGTTGGGGAAGTTGGCCGTCTCCTTCGGGTAGCACAGGCACACAGCGCCGACAAACCCGATCAAGTCGGCGAACTGGTCGTCCTTGTCTTCCGCCAGCGGGTTCATCAAAAAGATGTCGCGGAGGGACTCGTAGTGGGCGTACTGCTGGAGGAACTCCTCCCGGTACAGCTCGGGATCCCGCCTCACCACGTTCTGGAGCAATATGATGTTGGTGGGCAACACGGCGCACCTTCTTTTCTTCGCCATCGTCAGGAGGTGTGGGATATATGGGTGGGTCGCATTATCTTAGCGATGAGCATCGCTCCCAGCGCGCGCTCCCGCCGGAAAGTTGGTTCCGACAGTGGCGGCTGCCGTGAGTGTCGGCAGCCACGAGCCGACACGGCGTCATAAGCCCACCTCGTAATTAGTGCATGACCTTATTCCCCGCCGAATGCCGGGCGTTTCGGCTCACCCCCGTCGTTATCACGGGCTCGCAATAAGCGGCCCCGGTCGACCCCCCCCCCACTCGATTATATTCCCCGATTTGGGGAGTTATCTCCGAGCGCGAATGACCTGGAAAATCCACCTGTGCCGCAAAACCCAAACTGCCTCCGGAAATTGCAGTGGCACCAGCACGCCTTAGCCACGACGTTTTGTGTCAGAAAATTCCTGCGTTTACGACGGGGGGGGCCCCTCGTGTCGGGGTTATTGTTATTCCGTGAACTGAGGCGATCCCCAGGGGCCCTGAAACGGAAAGTCCATACAGTGTCCTTGCCGCCGCATTTGTGCTACCTACGCTCACATCGAGGTTATCACCGTAGTATGCCCATTTCCCTATGTCCTATGTAATATCGTAAATCTCGTTTACCCGCATTGCTTCGTCGCAGTGATCATGTACCACACCACGCCCACACTCAACGCAAACGGGTTGGCGTCACTGCTGCTGGCGTTTTCCAGCGTCACTTTGTGCTCGACAATCAGCTCGACGCGGCCCACCATCCACTCGCCGTCGCCGCCGCCGTCGAGGAAGTAGTGGGGGGCGCCCACGTTGAACGCCGCCCACGGCGCCGCCTCCTGGGGCTGGCTGTCGATGCGTGTAGGGAGGAATAGCACCAAGTCCCCCACGGAAAACCCGCTGATGGTGATCTTGTGGCTGAGCTTGGCCACCAACCGGTTCACCTCCTGCTGCTTCTGCTTATTCTCCTTATTCTGCCGCTTAGCAAACCCTTCGACGTCGCGGAACCGGCGAGTGACGGCATTGAGGAAAAACCGCCGGTCGAGCAGATCGTCCTGGAGGTGGACGTTATCGGAAAACTCCAAAAACAGCACCACGCGGTCGACCGCCAGTTCGGGACCAAACAACGCGTTGAACTCGGCGATCAACTCGAGCGAGTGCTCCTTCATCGCCTCCCAGCTCTGGTCCAGCGGCGCCATCAGCGTGAACTTGTCGACGCGGGCCATCAGCTCCATCAACGTCGCCACCAGGGCCGCGACCTCAGTGGCGGGCGAGTCGAGCTCATCTTCTTTCTTCGCTCGTAATCCCTTGACCCGTGTGATGCGGCACCGGTGCTCTTCGTCCTCCACTAAAAGCAACCCCATCAGCTCGATCACTAAGCAAAACTCAATGAACTGGCTGTGGATAAGCTCCACCGCCCGTTTAAGCCGCGACGCAAGCAGAATGATCAAGTTGTTGAGGTCGACGACGATCTCCGTCGGTTGTTGCGATCCCATCACCACCAGAAGGTCTTCCAGCATTTCATCAAGTCGGCCTTGGAGCTGGCGAATCTCCAGCTCTAATTGCAGGCGTTCACGGCCAAACTCTTGTTCTTTGGCCGTCATATTGGCGATAAGGTCGGCGTTCATCGCCCGGTACGCTTCAAGCGACTCTTGCTCCGTAGTAGTGGTGGCGGCGGTGGTAGCAGCGGCTGTGGCTGCAGCCACTTCAAGCTCTCGAATGCGGGTATCCCGCGACTCCACTTTAGCCTCGAGCAGCGCTCGTTCCTTAGCGTCGAGCTTGGCGTCGAGCCGAGCCTCCTCAAGCGCCGCCTTGGCGTCGCCCAATTCGCGCTGAAGCTTGGTCACCGTGTGCTCGTGCTTGTCGACCAACGCCTGCTTCTCGCGGGCAAACACCCCCAGCATCTGTTCCATTTCTTCCGCGTGCTTAAGCTTAAGTTCGGCCAACTGCTGCTTGAGCTCGGCGTTTTCGGCGCTAAGCTCGTGGTTTTGCGTCATCACCTCCTCGTTGGACCGCCGCAATCTGATGTTATCGAGATGCTTGTCGATCACCAGCGAGTCTAGTTGCTGCAGCGGCATCGGCAACGAGTGGCGCTTGAGTAGTTGTACCGGGTCGCTTTTCGGGTTGGCGAGGAGCGCCAGCGCTGCCGCCGCCAGGGTGCCCCGTTCATCGCTGGCCGCCATCGTCGTCACCGGACTCAGCACCGTCCGCTGCACCAGCGGCGTCGGGCGCGAGCTGTGGCCGTTACTCGTCAGCCCCGCCACCCGTTGGCTCACCGGCCACAGCAGGAGGTTTTTGTATTGGTACTGGTGGAGGAGACTTTCGAGCTTTTTGATGCGCAGCTTGAGTCCCTTGATGAGGTGGGCGTCGTCGTTCCAGTTGCTGGTATCGTCATCGAGAGCCACGGTGGCAAACAGCAGAAGGATGCGGTTCATCTTCGCCATGTGGTGGTTACGCGACACCAAATCGCGGTACTCGCGGCCTAAAACCTCGACAAACTTCGGCTCGTACTCAAGCTGGGCGATGTAGTTGGTGATGTGTTTCCGCTCTACCTGGACGCGGAGCCCCATCCTGGCTGGTTGCCCTCCCCCGACCAGAATGTCCACTTGCGGCACCAGCAGATCGAGGTGGTTGGCGTCGACGAAAAGCTCGAGGAAGGGAGCAAACTTGCGCCGCCAGGTGCGACGGAAAAGCCGTTCTTGCTCCACCACCAGCGCCAATTGCTCCAGCACTGCCAGGACAATAGCCCCGGCGAAGTAGTCGTGCCACTCGAACTGACGCCGTTGCTCAATCATCATAAACCCGACAAGCATGGGAAGGTCGATGGTCAAGCTCAACAAGTTTTCTCCGCGTTTCACCTGGTCAAGCAGCCCAACTTGCTGGACGGCCTGTTTTATTTCCACCATTTTCATCTGCACCTGGGCGATTTTGCGGAAGATCGCTGCCAGCGCCGTGGTGAGGTGTTGTTTAAACTGGCGCGCCTGCTGGTAGTGGGTATATATCGCGGTGGCGGCCTCGTACGCCTTGGCAGCATCGCCGCTGTCTTTAGCCGCCGCAAGCTGGGCCACAAGCTCGTCGACGTCGACATGAGCAAACTTCTGCCTCAGCAGCTGGCGAAGCTGGGCGATCTCGGCGTCGATGTCGGAGTTGTCGGCGAGACACAGTTGGTAGGCGCGGTTCATGCGGTTGAAATGGTCAATGAGCCCCAGCAAATGGGTATTAGAGTAGTTAGCGGCGTCGGCGAGCTGGGTGCTATCGAGGTATTGGTGGAGGGTTAGTTTCTCTTCCGGGGCGATTTCCACCGGCGGTAGTTTCTTCAACCGGGAAAAGTGCTGGCTCCACAGCACGGCAAGCGTCTTATCGTTGAGCCCTCTCACTTCCTGGAGTTTGGGCGCAAACCACTTGCGGTCGATCTCTTGGGTATAATTAGTGCCAAATTGGAATATGACATTCAACGCGGTAAACATGACGTTCACCTGTTTCACGACATCATTGGCGGCGCTGGCAATCAGCTGGCCGTCAATATACACCGTTTTGGCGTACCCCGGCTGGTGACGAGGGTCCGTAGGCGGTGACGGTGGCGGGGGCGCCTCGTCGCCCACTAGCGCCAGTTCCGGGGCCGGGGTCAGGCCGGTGACGGCAAATATCAGGCGATCAAACACGTAGACGTCCAGGACTTCGTTGACGAGGCCGTAGTTGAGGCGGATGCCAAACAGGGTGAGCAAGAACAAGTTGGCGTCGTCGGCGATGCCGAAGCTCAGGGCGACGAACAGCTTGAACTCGCCGACCAGATGGAAGCGGACAGGCTTGGGTATCCTGACATGGTGGCCATTGTGGCTGTTGTACACCTCCAAGTAGGTGAGGCTCAGCATGGCGCTGGTAGTGAGGGTGGCAAATCGACGGTTGTGAGGCAGGGGGCGAACGACTCCCCAGGGCGGCTCCGACGAACAGTTGGTGAACTATACAGGTATAGCGACAGCCACTTCCGCACACGAACCAGGCGGATATCGGCGACACACGTGAATGGCGTCGTCGTTCGCTAGGTGCAGTTATTGCTCGCCCAGTGAGACGGGTAAGGCGCCCTCGGGGGTCGTAACCACCAACCTCAGCAACCGTGTAGACAAGACAAGCGAACGTTGAAGCAGCTGATGTTTGCGTGGAGGCCGATAATGGTGGCATTGGTGACCGGTAAAGTTGACATTGAGACATCACCTGAGATAAGAGAGTGTGGGATCACGGTAGATCAGAATAAAACTAGACGTTATCATATGCTTTTACGATTGCCTGAAGACCTGATTTAAAACAGTAAAACAGCAGACACAGAGTTCACTGGTTAAAGTCGGCAGCTCATACCGAACACATTGTTCAGACATAACGATCGTTGTTGCTATAGTCAATGCTCAGCCTTAGACCAAGCAAGAGAGAAAAACCACAAAAAATTGAATTCAATTTGCTGAAACCATACCTAGTCTAAATTTACAAAACCATCTTTTTGAGTTACCTCGGATAGACCCTATTTTCACAGACTCCAGGTCTAATGGGTTCAGGGCACCCCACTTTTTGGTGGCCGCGCACTGACCACCATCGTCGACCCTCACCCCGCCGCCATGGACCACCACCACCTCGCCATCATCTCCCAGTTCAAGCAGAGGGTGTTGCTGGACCCCGAGTCGCAGCTCGACTCCATTGGCAGCCTGAACCGCGGCCACAAGCTTGCCGCCGCCGAGGGCCCCGTGGCCGAGGTCATCGAAGCCACGTCGGCGCTCCACCCCCACGCCGTCGAGTACGACGGCCGCAACTACCTTGTGTGGCTGCTGGAGGCCGTCGACCGCTCCAATCGCTATCGCAAGCGCAAATGGCACCAGACGTTCGAGCCGTCGGCGCTCGAAGCCGCGTCCGACGAAGGTGGCGACGACGACGACGATGACGACGATATCGACCACCCTTACAAGCAAGTGGCCATCGGCGAGCTCCTTGCCCCGATAAACCACCCGCTGGAGATTGTGCTGCACCCAGCGGCGTCGCGGACCTACCGACTGCCGATCTTTAACCTGATGGCTATGGAGCTCATCGAGTTGATCGAGGTGGAGCAAACCAATTTGAACTGGCTCAATAAGTTGCTTCAAGTGCTCAACGGCGAGGACTGGTACTACCTTTTGGACGACCACTTGGGGCTTCCAAAGTACAACCACGGTCTCACCGACGATAAGCCTCCGCAGACCGACGAAGACGGCAACGACCCGTTTTTCGCTCTTCCCGAGGCATTGACCCGCTACGACGCCCATCAGCGCGCCCTGGAGGCCGACGATGACGTCCTTAAGGAGGAGCTCATCAACTACCTCCAAGTACTGATCCAGAGACAACACGAATACATCAAGAACTTGACCACCATCCGCAACGGGCTTGTGCGATCCGACCGCTTGAAGCGTGACATATACAAGTGGAGCAAGGAAATGCACGATAAGAAGAGCACTTAGTGTTGAAAACGTCATGCTGACTGAAACGTGGTCGTCGCCCTGGCATTTAGCGACGGCCTAACGACACGACGACTTCTGGCCTGGTCCAAGTTTTCCATGAATGACAAGAGCAGGTGTGCTGAGGGATCTAGTCCTGAAATATGGAAGTGTGCTCACCCTCGAGGAAGCTACGAGTGTGTTGCAATCAATGATTGCGCCAGTACAGCAACTTCCCATTTATCACCACGCTCCAACCCGATATACTGTACTGAAATGAAGTGGTGCTCTCTTCGCCACTTCGTGGTTGAGGTCTTATACATCTGCAAATAAGGTTCTTCGTGATAACCGAACTTATCTCATTCAGGAGATGTTAAAATATCCTCACTAGTAAATAGCATAATCCCAAAAATCAATATCCGTGTTGAATAGCTACTAAAACCACCATCTAGTTCGATAACACCATATTCATGAGGTGCCCAATCCCCTCCTCGACGTCAATCGCATTTGAATTGTGATATTACAAATGAGTTTGCTACAAGATCCTTAGTAAATTGTAGTATATCCAATAAAAGAAGTATTTATGGTTTGTCGACTACTGATAATCTCTTTTAAGATATTGGTGTTGATATAGATCTTGGACATTGTCGTGTGGTCCTCAAGTACAAGATCCACCGCACTGTTAGCGGGACCAACGCTACTACGAGCCTACTATCAGCGCCATGGCAAAATTGAAGGTGTGAGCCACCTACAACGCCTGACTGTTCCCTCAATTGAACATTTATGGGTATAAAAGATCTACTGACAAGGTGCTTGGCCCTACAATCTGCTTTGTTGACGAACAATTGGAGGCACACCAACTCCCAGTCCATGAATTTACGGGCCCATGTCCAGTGCCAAATCGAGCGGTCTCCGTGCCAAGACTCCTTAAAGTTGGTTACCAGCATCCGCCCCGTTTACCTTCCAAAGTTGGCTGCATTGTCAACACGCCATTTCCCCACTACATCGTCGTCCACTAGACGAGCATGCACCAAAGCCCCACCACGAAAATTTTGGCTACTCACTTGACTCCTGGAGTCTGGCGGTGTTAGCAAACCAACAGTCACTCACATCTTAGCCTAGAATGGTGAAGAAGTTGCTGAAACCGTGACACCGTTCCCATGTTCTTTCACTTTGTGGAGGTTACTACTCCTGCTTTCGCAAATAATGGGTGGCGCTGACGACGATGGCTGGCTCATCATGCGGGGGTATCCTCATTGTTTCGTCAACATTCCAACCGAGCCCCCTAATTTATGACCTGCCAAGGTGATGAAGACGGTGTTTCTCCTTCAATTTTTAAGTGATTGGCACCAGGGAAGTTGGTAAAGAGTTGTTCAAAGGTACTTTATCTACTGACATCTTCAGTCTTTTGGGAACATCGACGATCGCCGATTTCATCTTGATTTAGACGATGCTGCGGGTCGCGTTGGCAACGAGAACAATGGCGAATGCGAGGCGGTGGTAAAGGAGGGTAACACTTTTAATTAATTTCCCGGATGGCTGGCTGTCGAACAGGGCTGCTTGACCTTGGGACATAAAAACCCCAGTTCCCGCCACTATGTTCTTCATTTATCAACCACTACTCACTTCAGCGAATGGGCCCTACACTCTACAGGTGACTCCAACGCTTGACCACCCGCCATTGGCCAATGAGATCCATTGGTCTGGCATATTACGATGACGCTTGCTGATCACCGCTCACCTCCTCCTATAGGTTAGAGCACTACCTTGATACCGATTGAAGTTGTTGTTGCTGACGCTACCGGGCTGAGACCCCTCTTCATACCTCCCTTACTGAGGACCACAGTAAAGACGAGCAAGCCGAACTATAGGAAGGCCCCGAGTATGCTGTCGGGGAATTTGGGCGAATTGTGAGGACTCTAACCGCGAGGTGGCATGGCGCCAAGGTTGCCATGTTCGCCCGCCTGTGGAACGAAGTTTGTAAGAGGATGGAGAGGACTCAGTGGTGGATGGCCACCTTATCGTGGCCTCCTCCCACTTGGAGATGACACTACGCATACGCGGATGGAGATTAACAGACGGTCCATTAGGATGACTATCTGGTCTCAGATTCTGACGGCCGTACCTCACTCCCAGTGGTGGTTAGCCCAGTAAACATCGGCTTGCCGATCGACAATCCTAACCACATCAACGTCGACTTATATAGTGACCGTGTGGTTCCTCTCGGAAAGGGGGCGAGTCGCGCAAACATACTTAACTGGTATAGCCCGTCATATCCACCAAGGGGCAAGTGTGCTTATAAAGACACTGGGGAACTCAACGTAAATATACACACCCAAAGTTGGGTTTTATAAATTACCTGAAGACTAACGGTATAATTAGTAATACATGAAATTTGAAAATTGACCTCATCTCGTAGCCATTTATCCGTCATCTTGAATCACCCTTATAATCTATGAAAACCTTCCACTGCGCTTTGATGTCACCAGTTTATAATCGACGATGTTGGTCGCGGTATTAATCGCTCACAACTCACAGTCGCACTCACTGGGCTTTCTCAAATTTTGCAGCCAGTGACGTCATAAACAGACAAATTCCACACACTTGCATCGATGTATGCGCCCAACCATCCAACTATAAATCGCTGATTAGTTTTGGTAGAACCAAACGATACGCTACACCACCACTACCATGTATGTTGATCTCCTAATCTAAGCCTTACTGTCACCAGTCTATCGTGATAGCCTGCCCCAATGGTATCCAAAATTGGACTCCATTATAGCGAATGCTAAACATTCTACAATTAGGGTGATAACAGAAGCTGAATATATATTGAGACAGAGCTCCTAATGATTGCGGGCGTCGATGAGTCGTTAGTGTTTACAAGCGAGTGCTCTGTGGCTCGAACGTTAACAATCCGCAATCAGTACCCATGTTATGCCATCTTTATAATGTAACAACCTCATTAACCTGTGAGTCTAACTGATAGGCAGAAGTTGAAAATTGATTTTCTATGAATTAGCCAATGCCTTTTGATATGCTCATGCCAACATCATTAACTTACGCTTTTCTCTCCAATTTCCTTCAATAAAACCGTTCTGCACGGTGCATTGAATCTAAGGGGCTGTAAAATGGCGCTCTCGGACAATTTAAATGATCAGGATGTTGCTATTTTGCATCTATAATGCCTCCCAAGAAACACGGTTCGGGGAGAAAGCCTCGAAAACGTCGCCAGTCGAGTTTCTCGAGTGCACCAACCGGAGGCACGTTAAGGGAACCGCCTCCAGAGGTCAGTTCCGGCCTGTTGAGCGAATCAAACCTCCACTTACTGAGTCATTATTCGTTTCAAGTTGGGTCAATTGCTTCTGAGACACCTTACGAAGGTGGTGACCGGCTCTTTGGCGGCGACGTGAAACCGCAAACGGTTCAACAAGCGGAAAATGTTCTTCTCCAACACGGCCCGCTTGCCTATTTCAGCAAGCATACCTCCATTTGCTACGTGTTGGACAAAGACTTGTTGGACGTCGATCTTGATCAGCCATCGTTCAAATACATCCCGCCTTCACGTAAACACCCGCCGTACCTGTACAGTTTGACGAAAAATGCCAATATCATACAGGCTCAGGGTTCGGGGATTATCAATTTCACCGACAACAAGGGAAGTGTCATTCCTGTGCTGGCATGGTACGTTCCTAAGGCGACCACCTCCAAGAGCCACCCGGTAATGGTGGGCCTACCAGCATTGCTTTCGGCAGGTTACCAGTTCACTTCGTACAGCATATGCCACTACCAATTTAGCCACTCCAAACATGGCTCGGTGTGGGTGTTCCGTATCCAAGGCCAATTTCTCTTGACAATCAAGGCTCCGGTCGACATTGACGTATTCGGTGCCGAGTGGTGTCGGCTTACTGACGTTAAGGTACGCCGTATTAACCAAGAAATGCCGACCGACGCAGATTACGCTGACAATGCGGACCCCCAAAGAAATCTCGTCATGATGAACAAGTGTTTGCACTCTTTATTCGCTCATGCTGATCAAACTCAAATTATCGCTACCTTCAAGGGCTTCTTATGTGCTGAGATCAAGACGAAGGACATCACCCCCGTTGATTGTGGCGAGTGTCGTGAATATGCTACCGAACCTCGACTTTCGGGCGGCATCCCATCCTCTCGGGGGTTTGTGTTGACTTTCTTTGTCGAAGTTTTCAACTCCCCCAAGTTCCCTCCTACAACGTCGGAGATAAAAAAGACTGAGCCACTGGAACTTGAAATGACTATCTGCTTTGAGGAAGTTGGCAGTGGGTTTCTTTACTTGCGGAATGTCGATCAAAAATACGGCTGCCTTTCGGTTTTGCATAATCTCATCAACGACGCATTTCGTGAACGCCGCCCTGGAAAGGTCCTTTTGGTAAGGGCTTCCAAGTCCAAGGAACTTCTTACCATCTCCAGAGAGGATGTGGATGCTTGGACCAGGTTATCTAACCCGAACACAAAGCTATTTATTGACCGGTACGTGGGCCTCTCTGAAAAAAATGGCCACCTTGATGATAAAGAGTTTGATGCTCTCTGCTGGAAAATGGCTTACGATCGGGCTCATATTGTCGTGACCGACGAGACTGCTGTAACTGCTCGGCCTGAATTGGAGCGATTGATCGTGAAGCGGTCGAAAAGATTACTTATTTCGCTGGGGCTTCCCACACTGTTTGCACAATTTGCGGCAATCCACTTTGTCAACACTCACAATATCATGTACGGTTCGCCGCTGAAGCTTCTGCAGCAGGGAAGTAATTGGCGGTCGCAAAGAAGCTTACGCCTGCCGCTTCAAAAGTTTTCCAACAGTATCCCGGCGCCACCTAGTTACCAAACCTTCGGGTGCCTCGTGTCCTACCGGGAGGGTGAACCTGATTCTGCTCTCCCCTACCCCAGACCAGGATATATGGGGGTATTTGTGGGGATTTCGTCCGAGGGCTACGAGGTTGTGGACCTTGAAACACATGTGCATCACTTTGTTAAGGACGTCGAGTTTTACCCGAGGATTACGCCATTGAAGTACGAGTACCCTGGGTGGAAGGGCGCTCCCCCGGACCCTAACGGTGCCAAACCTCTGGTGTATCTGGTACGGCCACCGCGTATGGACTCCATTGCGCAAATTGACTGGTCGTCGTTTCCCCACGACCTCACTGTCAACTTTGGTGACTCCATTGCTCGCAGCAGAGCGGTTCCAGTAGCTGTGTACTTCCGAGGAACTACTGAATCCTTGCCCATTTATACAAACCGAACCGCCTTTGGATTGTCTTTGCCCCGGCTGAAGGTCCCACTTGAAGAGATCACAAGCACTCTCCCCGAGACCATCTGGGAAACGTAAGCAGTTCCAGCACCGGAACCAACTCTCAGTATTTAGTGATTGAATGTGTTTATGATCCTGCGCGTAAAAGAAGGTTAAGTATCTCATTTCCACCATAAAGAACGGTCAAAGAGGTAATGAATCTGTAGTCATTGGTTCCGCAATGAATGCATTATCCATAACTCTATCGGTTACTATCAATGCCATCACGGTCACGTTCCAAGGGTTTGTCATTTTCCAGTCAAGAGAAGTCAGAGCCATATAATTGACTCCCTCTCCAAACAGTTGCTTTAGGTGATGCTATTAGGGAGCTCCACATAGACTTTTGAGTCATTTATCTATGAGCTCAATTCAAATCAGTGTTGTTGTCGTCAGCGGTACAGCTTGCTTCGTTATGCTTGTATGAGTATCCCAGGCCAACAAACCGGTTGTCGTTAAGAACAGACCCATGCGGCAACAATACAAATTTGACACCAGTAGTGTGTTTCCATTTTTACCCATGGTCATTAGCATCTCCAGCATGGTAGAAACCAGTTCAAATGGCAACTTAGGGGACACAGGCAATGAATAAAGAGTTCATCCCCACAATGATGCCAGTTCACTCCAAAGTAACCTTCCCAATCCCAGTATTCTTCACGTCATCTGTGGAATTGGTTGCAAACAAAGCCGACCGAAATAACCTAGCCAATGGCTTCATCAGCACGTCTGTTATTAAAATGGTCGTCGATAATGGTAGTGCGCGGTAAGGAGACCATCACCAGCACCTACAAAGAGGCTCGGGGCTATTAATGAGTTGATACACCAACTTATAAAGTCGTTTCTGTTCCCAAATTAATCCCATGATTTCCATCGCTTACGCTCGTGGCTTAAAGGAGGCGCAAACCTAACTGATACAAACCGATGATATTTATTAAAAACTACGAGTAGTTCAATCTGAAGATGTCGTTCAACACGTAGTACGACTGGCCCTCGGGGATCAAGTGGAACACTTGCGAGTATCTTTGCGTCAGGGTTTCCTCGTCGAATTGCAACTCGCCGGTGACCATGACCAAAATGTCGCCATTGGGCGACGCCGGCTGGGCGTCAAGGGTCGAGATCTTGTGGATGATCTTGCTGAAGGGCAACGACTTCAACTTTTCCACCACAGCCTCGGCGCCTTGCACTTGCGACGTCTCAAACGTCAACATCGAGTCCTGGCGGTACAAGTTGCCCAACTGGCTGCGGTCCTGGTCGAAAGTTTGGTAGTAGAAGTCGCAGAATTGCTGCGCCACGGCGGTGAAGTCAACTGGAACGGTTAGTAGCGGGTCATTGAGTGGAGACGTTTGGCAATCGAGTTACTTACCAGACATGATCGGTGATGTGGTTTTTTTTTGCTGCCACCGTCTAAATATCGCGGTCACGTGTGCAACCCCAAACGGTAGTTGGTGACGACCACTAACCACGATTTTAATTAGAAACTAGACGTTATAATTGTGTCATCTAGGTCTTGGTTTTGATGGCGTTTCAGTTGAATCCAAATTCTTCGTATAAGGATGTATTGTTAATGAGAGTAATACCCGGGCTACACCACTCCCGTGGCCAGCAAAATTTACATCAACTACTGTAATCGCATCTAGCGACGCAAATAACCCGTGTTTACTAGCTAAAAGTCTCAAAATCACCCCCGTTTTCTCTCATCTCTGCCTCCTCGATCATCGCTGTTAGCCACCCTCATCGCACGCACATATCGCATCGGAACCCCCCCGTACTCAGAACGACCCCGCGATGAGCAGCGACTTGGACGACGTCGACGCCTTCGACCAGCAGCGCAATCGCATCCTCTTGGAGCAGGCGGGCGAGTATGCTCGTCACAGCGACGCCAGCGACTACTCCGACGATGAGGAAGAGGTGCTTGCCCTCGATAACGGCGATGCCCACGGCGGCGATAGCGACGACGACGACGAAGAAGACGACGAAGACGACAATTTAGACGAAGAGCAAGACGGTGAAGTTGACGAAGACGACGACGACGCCGCGGCGGCGTGGAACGACGTCTACGGCGGTGACGACGCCGACGGCACCGAGGAAGCGCTCAAACAGCAGAAGCGCCACCTCCAGGACCTCGCCATGGACGATTACGTTGACGAAGAGGTGGAAGAGGAGTGGCAGCGGGTGAAGGAGCTGCTGGAAAAGCTGGCGACGGTGTTTAGCATCCGCGATGCCGCCGAGATGGCCACTGAAGATAAGCTGAGGCTTCTAAAACAAATGTTCCCTGAGTTCATGCCGTTGGTCAAGGAGATGGTCCAGTTGCAGCCTCAGCTCGACCAGCTTGAAGCTCTCCCTGCTAACGACCTTGTCACTGCCAAAGTTGCCGCTCTCCGCAGTTACTTGGGCACGGTGTCGCTGTACTTTGCTCTTTTCGTCGATAATCTCGCCCAGGGGGACCTGTTTACGACGATGAAGGACCTGCCGGTGATGCCGATGCTTCTCCAAGCGCGAGAGGTGTGGCGCCAGGCGCTGGAACTCCCCGACGAGGCGGTGGAACCGTTTGACGATGACTCCCTCGACCATGTTGAACAAGAAGAAATTGTTGACGAAGACATGGAAGCACCCGAAGAAGATGAAGAAATGGAAGTTCTCGAAGAAGAAGAAGATGACGAAGACGTTGACGACCTACTGGAAGCTGACGAGGCTGAAGCTGACACTGCTGAATTCACCATTGATACCACTAAGCAGCGCACGTTACCCTCTGTCGACAAGTTTGCCACCACTGTTGACGACGAAGACAAACAACGCCGCAAGAAGGCACTTTCGTTCTACACCTCCAAGATCGACAAGGCGCAACAACGCCAAGCCGCCCACGTCGATGTCGGTGGCGACCACGACATCCCCTACAAGGAAAGAGAGTTTGAACGCCGACAGCGGCTTCTTGAGGAAGCCCGGCAACGCGGGCTCGGCGGTGGTGACCTTGGTAACGACGATGACGAAAGTGACCATGGCGATGGCCAGGGTGAAGTTGGTGAAGATGACTACTACGACCAGGTGAAGCAGGCCCGCGACCACAAGAAACAGGCGCGGAAGGAGGCCCACGTGGCGGCGAAGCAGGCGATGAAGGAGGGCAAGCTCGCCGAGGTGATGGAGCTGCTCGGCGACGACGGCAAGCGGGCGGTCAACTACCAGATCCTCAAGAACAAGGGGCTCACGCCGCACCGGAAGAAGGAGTACCGCAACGCCCGTGTCAAGAAGCGGAAGCAGTACGAAAAGGCGAAGAAGAAGCTCAAGTCGACGCGGGCAGTCTACGACGCCGACGCCGCCCGCGGTCCTTACGAGGGGGAAAAGACGGGTATCAAGAAGAACCTCTCGAGAAGTGTCAAGTTGGTGTAATGCATGTACGGATAATAGACAATTTGGGATTAACTTTGATACCGATTAGTAAATGGTACAATCAGTTCATTTCTGGGAATTTTGTTTTCATTCAAGTCTGATTACCTTCATCGATAAATTGGATATTTTTGTGAATTGGCAAAAACAAACTAGATTTGACCTCTTTTAAAATAGGAATATTCACTCAAATTATACAATACTTGTTAGTAGATGTTTTATAGCCTTACCCATTCTTTCTTTGTTTGACAGTTATCAGATCGTGTCTGACACGACCTTAGCTGGACGCGTACCCATAACAACCCCTACCCATTGCATCAGTGATCCACCGTTACTAGATGGCGCAATCGCTGACGAACGAGCTCTACCTTCAGAAGTTGGAGGAGCTTCGCCAGTTGGAACAGATCCTTGGCGGTACCCAGCAGCTTGCCGATGGGCTTGAGTCGATGGTGGCCGAACTCGGACGCATGGCGTCGGGCGCCGACAAAGTGGCCTACCTCCTCGCCAACTGGAAAAGCGTTACTCAAGCAACCCAGTTGGGCAGTCTTGGTGGCGGTGTCGCTACTGATTCGGGAGTATACACCGCTCCGTTGGTGCGGTACCCTCTCGATGACCCCGAACAAACCACTGAGCCCTAGTGAGGTACCATTCCTTAAGTGGAATTCCTTTGACATCGAGTTATCGATTACTCACACTGAAGAGTCCGACCTACGTGGTATTTTCTTTAAACTACAACCATTGATGCCGTTGATGATACATAGCTAGCCTCGCTGCTGAGCCTGTGCGAAAATTGCCACAGTTGCCAGCTACCCTCGTACGAGGTCGTGTGAGATGACGACTACCTCCAGGCGTGATTATTCAACTCAACTAACGATACAATAATGCCAACACAACTAATACGTACATCTCGTTCGCCAATAGTGTTTCTGCTACCTCGTATTCTCTTTAAATCCCTGTCTATGCTCATCCTTTCCGTCTCCCCGCTTCTGTTCTCATTAACCTCAGTTGATACAGCCGTGCGAACCCAAGCTATCGCCACCCAACCACGTCATAAAATTTATTTCACAATGTGAACGGATCACAACCCAATTCCCTCCAACCCATTCGAAACTATTTTTTTCATTACGATTAGGTAAATTTTCGGGGACAATCTGAGACATGCCCGGGGGTCTAGCCCGCCGTCGCTCATCCCTCACCAAACTATCTTTGTGCGCGCAGTGAAAATTTTTACCACATGTCCCGATTCTTTGTTAGTGGGTACCTGGACTCCAGTGAAGAGGAAGATCTCCTTTCCACGTCCGAGGAGGAGCTTCTCCTGTCTTCGGACGACAGTGACTTCCCGACGTCGGATGACGATCTGGACTCGCTGTCCGACGACGACGAGGATCGTCCCGCGGGGCCGGCGTACTTCTTGAAGAAGGCGTTTCTTAAAGGCGGCCACGGCGACGACTCCGACTCCGACGAAGACCGCAAGGTGGTGAAGCTGGCCAAGGAAAAGTTGGTCGACGAAATCAAGGACGTCGTCGAGCAGATCAACGTCGCCAGACGGCAAAACAACTTCACGCTGGTGCTCACCGATTTGGACCGGTTGAACAAGCTCGTCACCCGAGCCCAGAACCTGACCCTCGGCCTGGTGCCCAACCAGTACATCAAGTGCTTGGGCGGCTTGGAGTTGTGCATCAACGAAGTGCAAGAAAACGAAAAGAACGAAAAGACCCTCAGCGCCCAAGAGGCCAAGGCGTTCACCACCGTGCGCCAGCGGGTGCGTAAGGCCATCAAAGAACACCAAGAATTGTACGACTTGTACCTCGAAGACCCCGACCGTTTCGACAGCGACGAGCCGGTGCGTCCTCATGTCGAGTCTACTCCTCAACCCACCGACACCAAGACCACCACTGGCGCCGGCCACCCGGTGTTTGCCACGCTTAAGGCCATCGCCGAAACCCGGGGTAAAAAGAACATCGACAAATACGAGCAGATCGCCACGTTGGAACAATTATTGGCCGACTACGCCGAAAAGGGCACCACGTTCGAGAAGATCGCCATCTACCAGATGTTGTTGCTGATCCGGTTCGACGTCTCCACCAACCAGCTGTACATGCTGTTGGGTCTTTGGAACGCCAACCACCGCAACTTGAACGACATGTTGGCGTTGTTGGAGCTGTGTGTCGACACCTACCAGCTCAGTGAATACGGCCACACCACCGACGACTTGGACATCGAGCCCGAGGCCAACGCCGACGGCGTCAGAGTCATCTACGGGCTGGTGGCGTCGTTGATCGACCGCTTCGACGACGAGTTCCTGCGGTCGTTGCAAAACACCGACCCCCACTCGATCGAATACGTCGCCAGACTTAAGGACGAGTCGAAGGTGTACCAGTTGGTGGTGAGAGGTCAACAATACATCGAACGCATCACCCCGGCCGACAAGCTGCTGTCGGCGGAACAGTTGGGCCGCATTGTCGCCCGCCGGTTGGAACACGTATACTACAAGCCTGACCAGGTGATCGAGGCCAACGAAAAGGCCGTGGGCACCATCAAGCTGAACATCGTCAAGGGGACGCTGGCGCAGGAGCTTGTCGACTCGTTGGCTACCTACTTGAGCCACCACGCCAACCCGATGTACCCCACCCAGCTGCTTTTGCTTCTGATCTACTACTACGCCGTCAACAACCGCTTTGACCGGGCGATGTCGTTGTTCCTCGACCTGAAGATCTACAACGACATCAACCTGATGGACTCGCTGTTGCAGGTGGCCTACAACCGGGCCCTTGTCCAACTTGGGTTGTGTGCGTTCCGCCAGGGCCAGATCGCCGAATCCCACCGCATTTTGAACGAAATCATCAACCAGCAACGCCTGAAAGAGTTGTTGGGCCAAGGGTTCCTGACGAAGTACCCCAACCAAGCCACCACCGTCGAAAAGCAAAAGTTGTTGCCCTTCCACATGCACATCAACCTCGAGTTGCTCGAGTGCGTGTACATGACGCTGCTGTTGTTGTTGGAAATCCCCGCGTTGGCGGCGGCGGAAAAGGAAACGCTGACGAAGAAGCTGAAGGTTCCGGCGAAGCTGTTCAAGTCGAAGCTTGAGTTCCACGAGCGCCAGTTCTTCACTGGTCCTCCCGAGTCAATTAAGGACCACATTGTCTACGCACTGATTGCGTTGCAAAAGGGTGACTGGCACAAGGCTTACAACTTGTTGTCGTCGATCAAGATCTGGCGGTTGTTCCCCGACAACCAGCAGTTGTTGGCTATGCTCAAACACCAGTTACAAATCGAAGGCTTGCGCACTTATGTGTTTAGCTACCGTTCCATCTACACCAAGTTGTCGCTTCCGAAGTTGGCGCTGATCTTTGAACTCCCTCGCGACACCGTCGAAGAGATTGTCAGCAAGATGTTGGCTCACGACATTTCCGGCACCATTTCCGGCAACTTTATCAACTTCAACGCCTCGACTGAGCCTCAACGCACAAGATTGCAAGAATTGGCCATCATCATGAACGAGAAGGCGGGCTTGTTGAAGGACAAGAACGAGAAGACGCAACTGAACGGGTACCTGAAGAAGCCGCCGCAACCGAAGGAGCCCGAGGTGGAAGAGGACAACAAGTTCCGCTACGCCTACGTCAACACCAACAATGACGAGTTCCAATCGTTGTAATGTGTATACTAGTAATGGGATAGACTTAAGAGACACTAATCTTCTGGGTATGACTACATTGTCAGATATGGCATCAACCCACTGGTAATTGCTAACCAGCTACTAGGCTAGATCGTCGCCTCACCAGTCCGGTCGTATTTGCCCCCCCCTTAAAACAAGCATACGTCAAGATCACAACGTGCGTGTAAAATCTCCCTCCGGTCACGTGAACCATTTGTCGTCGCCTCCACTCATTTGTACCAGACAGGCCCATTAAGGCCAGCCTATACTGTAGCCGGACTTTGAAATTCACTTTGAACATCTTTCAACCCGGGTCTACGTCTGACCCCGTTTCTCTGAGTATAAATTTTCGACATAACTCGCTGAATTAATCAGCAATTGACTTCCAGACCCTTACAGCGCGCCGACCACAGGCCCGCCACAGGTGATTTTTTTACTATATAAGTTGATCAAACACCCACTCAATTGGTTCTTCTACTCATTATGGCTAACCTTGAGAAACTCATCATCCACTGGGTGCCCTCGACCCGTGGCGCCCGGATCATCTGGCTCGCCATTGAGCTCGGGTTACCTTACGAAGTGAAGCAAACGGTGAAGCTGGCCCCCCACTTGAAGGAGATCCACCCTTACGGCAAGATCCCTTTGGCCGAAGCGAAGTACACCGACGGCCGCACCGTGGTGTTGGAGGAATCGGGCCACATCATCTCGTACCTCTTGCGCCACTTCGACACCGACAAGAAGTTGCTGGGGAAGACGCCCGAGGAGTTTGAAGAGGTCGACTTCCACCTCCACTGGTCGGAAGGGTCGTTGATCGCCGAGATTGTGCCGTTGATTGTCAACAAGGCCTACAAGTGGGCCGACTCCGAGCTCACCACGAAGGTGTTCTCCCCTCACGCCGAAGAGGCGATCAACTACCTCGAAACCGTGTTGGCTAAGCAAGCTGCTAAGGGCAGCAAGTACCTTGTTGGCGACCACTTGACTGCCGCCGACATCATTAACCACATGCCGGTGGCGATCTATGTTGGAGGCAAGCTTGGTCCTGTTGGCCCCAACGTGCAAAAGTGGCTCAAGCAAATCGAGCTGGAAAAGTCGTTCCAGGAAGCGTACAAGAACGAAGGCCCCCCTCCCTGGGCCTTGTGAGTCACTAAACATTTAGACACTGAATAGACACAATTGGTCTCAGCAGGTAGATTATAATTCACCTGTGTTTTAGTAAGAGCATTCGACCTCTCCAGAGACATTTCATGACTTGTAAATTGAACCTAAGTATCCTAAACCAACCTCAACATAACTATCAAAGCTAGGTTTCGGTAGGGGCCACGGGGACGGGGAGCGTTCGGTCGCGACGAGACCGTTCCAGTTTTTCCTTAGTGAATTCAAGTAAGCGCAGACGCCGGCGTATGCCTTCCTTGATCCAGAACTCATTGCGATAGACTTCCCATCCCTCGCGAATATCAGTGTTGAACACCCGCGCATTGAGGACCAACTTGACGTCGGTGACGCCGATGCGGGGCTGGCATTGCAGTTGGCATGTCACTAAAAACACTTCAAGCTTCAGATGCCGATTGTTTTTGCTTTTGGGGGAGACAAAGTGCAACGTGTTGAGGCAGTAGGTGATGAACACCAACAGTACCTCGCGCAACAAGTCGGGCACTTCGTCCAGCCATGAGGTTTTGATTTTCATAAGCCTGACGTTAAGTTGTCGCAACCCTTTATTAGTGCTTGACAAGAACTTTCGTGGAAGCACAATCGTCTTCTGGTATTCCCCCAGTAAGTGGTATAAGAGCAACGTCACCATCAACGCAATAAGGATGAATTGGAGAATGACACGCATGGTACCCTTAGACGACATTTCGGGGTCGATAAAGTATAAATGGTGTGAGATCCCGGCGATAAGCAGGCACAACACGGCAAGAAACGTGAGGTATTTCCTCCGTAACGCCCGTTGTTCTACCACTTGTCCCCGCAACAGTTCTTCGAGGATGAGGAGATTGCGGAAGATTTTGCCCGCCGCCGGCACCAGCGAGTACCCCAGCCCTGGCTGCAGCGCCTGCAGTTTGCGTCGAGACAGCTTCTTCTTCAGAGTGGGGCTGCCTTCCTTTTTCTTCACTCGTTTGCGGGTGGGGCTGGCCTGGCGGGCGTCGCTAAGACTGAGATGGGACGCCTGATCCAGGTCGTAGAGGGCGAAGTCATCGCTTAACGGGGTTGTATCCGTCAGCAGCGTGGTGATGGGACTGAGCAATGCTGGTTTCGGGGTGGCTGGAGCCAGCGAGTCGTAGCCGTCGGACGACACTGGCAGAAGAGAGGGAGCGGAGTCCATGGCTATGATGTCACCGGCAAACAACACGTTAGAGTCAACGAGATATAATCACAGCGGCAGTGCACACGCTTATAAAGTCAAGCACAATTTCGGGATTATCGGAAGTGGCACGGCTATCGACAAAGGGGGGGGCGGACGCCAGTGGTGTCGATGGTGTACAAGACAATGATATGGGTGTGAGACTGTGATCGCTGCTTGTGTGCAGGACTAACACCCCCTCGCCTAACAACCACGACCCTAATGACCAAACCGTCGTAGCTGCGTGCGAAAGTCTATCGATCAGAGAAGGGCTGCTTCTTACTTTATTTGGCTTAGTTTATTGGTTTAAAATTTATTGGTACCATAGTATCGACAGTTAACGGATTTATTCCAGGAATGGCAATTTACCCCAGATCTAACTTTTTCGATAGGCGGCAAGATACGTCGTTTGAAGGGTACGTCTAACCGATGGGGTGGCTATGAGCACAGGACGGGTAATATAATTGCGGGGTTATCGCTGATTATTCTGGTAGATGTTTCATTAATCTCTATGTCAAGGCAATATCATAAATTCCATTGATAGTACCCCGTCATTGTTCTTAGATCCGATATCGTGTGACGTGATTACGTGCTTAGAATGGACCCCAAGTCAAGGGTGGCGTTGGTGGCTCCAATACACGCGTCACTAGTGGTTTATTCTTAACCACCAAAAAAGTTACAAGAGTCGGAATTCTAACTAAACCACCAAAAAAGTTACAAGAGACGGCGTTGTCTCTCAAAAAAGTCGTTGTTGGCGAGCCACTGTGAGTAAGGGATACCGGTAGAGAACGGATCGTGGTTGCCGTAGTCTTCAATTTGTGGAATACAAGCAATTCATGGTTGTTTGAGACCGCAATTGATTATACTTATCAGCAATTGAATCTAGAGACCACTCACGTCTTTGCAAATACTTCTAAATCCTTTTTTGGGAGGCGTTGGCAAATGATTTGAGTGTATTTTGGGACGTAACGTTGCAGGCTGCTTTTGATTTTGAAGTTCTGCACATTTTGGGTCGTGCACACTAACTCAAAAATGATGAAGTTGAAAGCTCTGAAAGCAAACTGAATATCTCATTTTTCGATTATACACGACTTAAATTACAGTTTGAGGTTTGCACGACACCGGCCGCGTGTGATTGCCTGGAAAACGGGTGTCAAAATTCATGCACTTTGCATTGTGCTCGTTTGATGATTATAATTGACACGTGACCGTCACCAAACGATGAGCCATCACGTCGGCTTCAATTGAAATAGCTCAGTGTTACTATGACGATGACATCGATTTCAATATCCCGAGCAAATATTATTAAAAATTTAATGAGTCATTTTGGAGCTAATGATATGAAGTTCAATATTGGTCGTTTAATTGGTGCAAAATTAGGAGTAAAATCGGTCTACATTCACGTCTTAATCAGTCGCCTAAATTGGAATTTCACTGGGTTATCATCCCGAACCTGCTTTGACTGTCTTCCAAGGAAGAGTATGTGTTCCCTTAGTCATATTTAACGCGACCTCCTCCCCATCTGAGATCACCCCTAAATTCATTCTGATACAAACTCTGATTAATCATCACCTTTCCAAATCATAATCACCTTTCAAATCAAAATTTCCTTTCCAAATTTAATTCCCCAGTCGATTGGGTGGTTGTCTTGTCTTTAAACCTCTTCCCCTAATTATGGCGAGTACTCCGACACGGTGCGCGCGATAAGCACCCTTCACTATGGTGGCCCACAAGGAGCAAAAAGAACAGTTTGTGTCGGGCCTCAATGGCGGCAGCATCGACGAGATCGCCTGGTTGCTCTCGGTGAACGTGGCGGTGTACCTTGTGTGGAACTGTGTCGTCGCCAGCGGCATGGGCCCGTCGTGGACGTTGGACTTCATCGTCAACTGCGGCGTCATCCTCGCCAGCATCACGTTGTGGGCGGGGCACACGCCGACATTGTTGGTGTCGGTGTTGTTGCCGGCGGTGATTGCCGTGGTTATCACCACGGTGGGGCGGAAACGGCGCCCCCACAAGCCGGCACTGGCGGCCCCTGCCACCGCCGACCTCTTGCCGAAAAAGCTGTTTATCACCAACTACCGGTCCCACATGTTGATCATCACCAACTTGGCGATCTTGGCGGTCGACTTCCACGTGTTCCCTCGCCGGTTCGCCAAAGTGGAGACGTGGGGGACGTCGCTTATGGACTTGGGGGTGGGGGCGTTCGTGTTTCTGATGGGGTTGGTGAGCACCCGCAGCTTGATCAAGACGTACCAGGGGGCCAACGGCTACGTTAGGCTTGTGTCGCGAGCAGTGGTGAAGAGTCTCCCGTTGTTGGTGCTAGGGGTGGCGCGCCTCGTGTCGGTGAAGCTGTTGGAGTACCAGGAACACGTCACCGAGTACGGCATCCACTGGAACTTTTTCTTTACCCTTGGCTTCCTCCCGATCGTGCTTGCCTTGCTCGACCCGATTCTCCGCTACGTGCCCCGGTTTGTGGTGGCGTTTGCCATTTCCTTAGGCTACGAGTACCTTCTCCACGCCACCGATTTGCTCACATTCATCCTTGATCCCAGCAACCGGTTGACCAACATCATCACCATGAACAAGGAAGGGATTTGGCTGTTCTGGGGCTACTTCGCCATCTTCCTCTTTGGCCAACTGTTTGGCCAGTTTGTGATGACGGGAGTGCCCACGAAACACAACTTGTTGTTTGTGTCAGCAACCCCAGCGAAGCCGTCATGGACGTCCGTCACCACCACCAAGGGGCTCGTTATCGCCGCTTTTGTGTATGGGGCGATCTTCTGGTTCGCTCACGAGTCGCCGTTGTTCTCGCCCGTGAGCCGGCGGCTCGCCAACTTCCCCTACGTGATGTGGATCGTCAGCTTCAGCGGGCTCGTCCTCCTTGGCTACGCCGTCGTCTACGATCTCGGCGCCAACGCGGCGTCGCCGGTGGTCGAGGCCACCAACAACAACGGGCTTTTCGCGTTTCTCCTCGGCAACGTCCTCACCGGTGTCGTCAACATGCTGATGGACACGTTAGCTTGCTCTAACGCGGAGGCGGTGGCGGTGTTAGTGGGTTACTGCGCGGTGATCTCAGCGGTGTTGGTGGCGATGGACCGGCGCCACATCTACATCAAGTTGTAAGCAGAGACGCCCCTTGTCTGATCCCTGGCCCTGACTGTTTGTCGATAAGCAATCAGGGGCTGGGGGTTGTATCGGACTATAATCTGCGATTAACAATGCCAGGGCTGACACTGGCGATTACGTGGTCGCGACTAGCATTTTTTTTTTTATTGAGGGGTCGCCGTGCCGGGGACGCGCGTCCCGGCGGCTGCGTCCCGGCGGCTCTCGGAACCAGCCCACGGCTACCCCAGAAAATCCCGGCTTAGCAACCCCCGAGCCCTCGTGGCAATTAGTAACAGCGGCAGGTGCCAGGGGACCCCCGCCGCCTTTAACCAACGCCAACCAGCCGTCATAGATATAGACACAAACCAATTGCCCCCGCACCGTAGCCCGCCGACAGAATCGGCCGGGAGTGGTCCATAATTCTTCGGGCAGAACTGGTCCTTGCCAGCGGTTTCGGTGGGCCGGTTGGGTGCACCAGCTGCACCCGTCCTGCATGGCAAAATAAATCGTTTGAAAAAACAGGTATATAAGGCCAGCGCCACCCGCCCCGGGGCGACTCCGATAATAACAATTGATCCCCTCATGTCTGCTCCCGCTGTTTTGCTGAAATCCGGTGTCGTGTACGGCCAAGACGTCCACGACCTCTTCGACTGGGCGAGAAAGCAAGAGTTTGCCATCCCCGCCATCAACGTCACCTCGTCGTCGACGGTGGTGGCGGCGTTGGAAGCCGCCAGAGACAACAACGCCCCCATCATCTTGCAGACCTCGCAAGGTGGCGCCGCGTTCTTTGCCGGTAAGGGCATTGACAACAAGGACCAGACGGCTTCGATCGAAGGTGCCATCGCCGCCGCCCACTACATCATCTCCATTGCCCCCGCCTACGGCATCCCCGTGGTGTTGCACACCGACCACTGCGCCAAGAAGTTGTTGCCGTGGTTCGACGGCATGTTGGAAGCCGACGAAAAGCACTTTGAAAAGTTCGGCCACCCGTTGTTCTCGTCGCACATGTTGGACTTGTCGGAAGAAACTGACGAAGAAAACATCGCCGTGTGCCAAAAGTACTTCAAGAGAATGGCCAAGATGGACCAATGGCTCGAAATGGAAATCGGGATCACCGGGGGTGAAGAAGACGGTGTCAACAACGAGCACGCCAAGAGAGACGCGTTGTACACCTCGCCCGAACGCGTGTTCAGCGTCTACGAAGGTCTTCAACCGATCTCGCCCAACTTCTCCATTGCCGCCGCCTTCGGTAACCAACACGGTGTCTACAAGACCCCCGCCGAATTGAAGCCCGAGATCTTGGCCGACCACCAAGCCTACGCCCACAAGAAGATCGGTGGCAGCAACCCCAAGCCCCTTTTCCTCGTCTTCCACGGGGGTTCGGGTTCGTCGCAACAAGAATTCGACACCGCCATCAAGAACGGGGTGGTCAAGGTCAACTTGGACACTGACTGTCAATGGGCCTACTTGCTGGGGGTCAGAGACTACATCCTCTCGAAGAAGGACTACTTGTTGACCGCCGTCGGTAACCCTGAAGGCGACGACAAGCCCAACAAGAAGTACTACGACCCCAGAGTGTGGGTGAGAGAAGGGGAAAAGTCGATGTCGAAGCGGATCACCGAGGCGTTGGACATCTTCCACACCAAGGGCCAATTGAAGAAGTAAGTAATGAGTATATGAGTTCGTTATAAATTTTCCCCCGTAGTACTACCCCGATAAATCAGTCGATGTGTGGGCATTATACGTCTATATACATTATGGTTCGTGGTTCATCATCAGCCGGGCCTTTTCGTAGCCGCCCATGTTAAAGTAAGGGTTGAGGTTCTTTTTGGTAAAGTTCTCGCCGATCATGCGGTTGGCGTGGACGTACTTGGCGACACAGCGGTCGACACACGACATCTCGCCCTTGGCGAGGTCGCCTTCGCCGTACTCGTGGTTGATGCACTTGGCGGCACACGTGCTCAACACCTTGTTGAAGGTGGCGGCGGTCGCCTCGAACTGGAGCTGGGCCTGCTTAATCTTCTCGGGGTCCACCGTCCCCCACGCGTACTGGGAGGTGTTGCCTATGAATAACAGCATCGCCCGTGAATGTACCCGCTGGTGGGCGCCATTAGAAGAAATTTGTTCGTGCGCGCGCCCTGGGGGAAGGCCACCACCCTCTCCACTAAACCAGCATCACCGCCATGTAATTACGTAGGTCAAAGAAGTGGAAGTTAATTCTAAGGCTAACTCAGGCAAAGCTTAAGACGTCAAACCGAAAAATTGTAGTTGCCAAACAAGATTGGCATTTTTCTAAGATGAGCGCCGCCGATGCGGGGTGCGCCCTCATCTATATCGCTATATTCTGGTAAATCTAAGTGCCATAATGCACGTTTTGCTCACCAACGACGACGGGCCCTTGGACGACCACCTGGCGCCGTACATCAAGTACCTCGTCGACGCCATCCGCACCACCACCGACTGGGACTTGCTGATCGTCGTCCCCGACCAGCAGCGCCTGTGGATCGGCAAGGCGCACTTCGCCGGCAAGACGGTGGCGGCGCTGTACGTGTACACGACGGAGACGGTGTCTTTGGGCGCCACGGCCGTCAACACTAAGCTTGGCCCCTTTACCACCCCGCAACCCCAGTACCGCGACGACCCCCGCTACCAGGAATGGTGTCTTATCGACCTGACGCCGGCGGCGTGCGCCGACATTGGCATCCACCATCTCTACTCCCAGCTGAAACTGAAGCCCGTCGACCTCGTCATCTCCGGCCCCAACTACGGGAAGAACCTGGGCAACTTGTACGTGCTCACCCTGGGGACGGTGGGGGCGGCGATGGAGGCGGTCACCCACGGGGTGAAGGCGGTTGCCCTCTCCTACGCCTTCTTCCTGCCCCACCACGACCACCAAGTATTGCAGCAGGCGGCGCGGATCTCGGTGGCGTTGATCCGGCGGCTTTATCGCCAGTTACTCAAGCGAGACGACGTCGATATCTTTCTGGTCAACGTCCCGCTCTTGCCGCTGCTTGAGTACGGCAAAACCAATATCCACTACGCCCCGATCTTGGAAAACTACTGGAACAGCATCTACGCCCCCGTCGCCACCGACGACGGCACCCACCGGTTCCAGTGGCAGCCTGACTTCAAGAAAGTCCACAAGGATAGCATGCTCGACCCCCATCACAGCGACCTGAGGGTGCTCTTGGACGAGGGCATTCTGGTGACGCCGCTTAAGGCGGCGTTCCGTCCCGTGGAGCCGCTCGCGGGCCAAATCACCCTTGACGATGACGACGACGATGGCGACGACGCCGTGGCGGCGCCGATGCGCCAGTTGGCGATTATCGACGATACCGATAAGCTTAGCCTGCCGACACTTTTAATCACGTTCCCGCCGTCGCTGTACACGTTCGAGCCAGCGGCGCGGGGGTTCCACGGGTTCACCGTCACCACCAACCGCGCCGTGCTCGAAGACGCTAACGTCAAGGTGTTCCACTACGGCGACTACGAAGACCTCGACTTTGACCGGGTCTACAGCGACAACTACTACTTCTGCTCGTACGTGTACCGCAAGGCGCTCATCCGCAAGCACTACTTGGCCAACACCGTCCACCACTACGTCACCAAGCACCCGGAGTCGATCCTCGCCCGGGCGGTCCCGGCGCTGTACCTGATCGAGGTCGACTACGCCGAGTTCTTGGACGACGCCCTCGACGACGCCTACGAGCTCCGCGACGACATTTTGGCGGGGGACCGGCTGTGGATCCTCAAACCCAGTATGAGCGACAAGGCGCAGGGGATCAGAGTGTTCCGCACCTTGGACGACTTACAGGCGATCTTCGACTCGTTTGAGGCCGACGACGATAGCGACGACGACGACGGCGATGATGACGCCGCCGACGTCGATAACAACGGCGTCATCGTGTCCCAGCTCCGCCACTTCATCGTCCAGGAGTACATGGACCGGCCGCTTCTCCTCGCCAACTACGGCAACCGCAAGTTCCATTTGCGGGTGTACGTCGTCGCCGCCGGCAACTTGGCGGTGTACGTGTACCGGTCGATGTTGGCGCTCTTTGCCGGCGCCGCCTACCAGCGGCCGCAGGAGCTGGCGGACATGGCGTGCCACCTCACCAACACCTGTGTCCAGCAGGGCCAGCTGCCGTTGGTGGTGCCGTTCTGGCAGTTGCACGACCCCAACCACTTGAACCGCCCGCAGAAGCAGCGGGTGTTTGACCAGATCTGCACCATCACCGGCGAACTCTTTGCCGCCGCCACCAGCGTCGACAAGATGAACTTCCAGCCGATGCCGCACGCGCTCGAGATGTTTGGCGTCGACTTCTTGGTCAACCACGACTACCTGGTGCTGCTCCTCGAGGTGAACCTGTACCCTGACTTCAAGCAGACCGGGGACGAGCTTAAGGGGATCATTGACGAGTTATTCGTCAATGTCGGTGACGTCGCCTACGAGATGATGATGGGTAAGCCGGTCAGTGGTGACGTGCCCAGCCACCCTCAGTTGGTGGAGGTATTACGCCAGAACTGAGCTCATGAACAACCCTAATACACAGACACTTCCATGTAATCGACACTCGTGCATCAACTTAGCCCCCGTTGACGTAATGTAGCCTGAAAGAATACCGCGGAAGAAATCATACATTCGCCAGCGGTAATCATCGCCATTTACATCAATGAAATTTTGGTTGATATGGTATACTAGCTAGTATTGAGGGCTCGATCGGCGCCAATGGCTGGGCATTGACTCAGTTTATACGACGCCGGGTTGATGGCGTATGTCGGCAAACCTGTGCGCGCGGAGAACCCTGTCGAAGCTCTCAGTGGGATGGAGGTGGTCGTTGCTCTGGGGCCATCCACCGACACTTTGTGATACTAGGCCCACGGGTAATTTGATAATTTCATAGGTGATTTCATCGTAGTCTAGAATTGCTCAAAGTCACTCATAATCGTATATTTTGTGAGGTGGTGTCGACGGGGGGCTGGTTACGTCACCGCTCCCCACCTTTAGCGGTGAAACACTCGTGCCGCAGCGCTCGGTGACAGCAAAAAAAATTTTGCTCGTCGAAAATCGATTATCGACATACACCACCCTTGTTACATATAGCCCTCGATGTCATCCCGAAAATTAAAAGGGCTGGCTGCCAAGAAGACCGCGGTGCTGGCCGAAGCACTCAGTTTACACGAGATGTTCCCCGACTGGGAGCTCGACGACTTAAAGCAATTGTTGGCCGAACACCACGACGACTTACAGATTGTCGTTGATCTCATTGTCAACGGCAAGGTGGCGAAGTGGGAGCTGACGAAGAAGGAGAAGCCCAAGCCCAAGCCCAAGAGCGACGACACAGCCCGGGCGGCGAAGCCGCCGGCAGGGCGCCAGCAGAAGCTGGCACACCCGGCCAAGGAGAGAAAGAAGCGCGACCAGGCGAAGCTGGCATCGACACCGACACCCTCGCTGGCGGCGGCCGCCTCCCTGGGGCTGGCACCGGGGCTGGCAGCCGACGACGCCAAGCTGAAGCCCCACCATCAACAACAACACCAGCTGCTGGAACAACTGCTGCAACGAGAAGAACAACTGCTGCTGCTGCAACAACAACAACAGCAACAACAACAGCTGAATCTCAACTCGTGGGCGGCGGCATTGGCCCCAGAAACTCCCAAGCCCAAGCCCCAGCGAAAGAAGCATGACCACAAGGAGCAACACGAACAATCGGAACAGGAGTCCTCGAACCAACAACAACAACAACAACACCAAGACCAACAAGAACAACACCAGCAACAACAACAACACCAGCAACAACAACAACCCGACCAAGATAAGCAAGCTAACCAGGATCAACAACCTCAACAACAGCAACAGCAGCAGCAAGATGTGGGTCTGACCTCGTGGCTGGCGGCGTTGGCCCCCAAGAAGGCTGCCCCCAAGGAAAAGAAGGAACAACCGAAGGAACAAGCTCTGGAAGCGGCTCCCGCCCACGCTGACGCCGCGGCGGCCCCTCAAACCGAACAATCCTCCAAGCCCTCTGCTCCCGAGCAACAACAACAACAACAACAACCGGAAGCGGTGCCCGAACAAGCCGCCGAACAGGCCGCTCCCGCCCCCGTGCAAGCTCAACCTCAGCCGCAGGTGGTGTTGCCCAGCGGCTCGCAACCTGGTGCCGTCGGCGTCTCGTTTGGCTCGTTGTCGTTGGAAGACGATGAAGAAAAGGACTTGTACCAACCGGCTCAACCTCAACAACAGACCCAGCAACCCCAGCAACAACAACAACCCCCTGCTCAACAACAACAACAACCTGAGCAGCAACAGCAACAACAGCCTCAAGCGCAACAACCGCAAGCCCAAGGGCAAAACCCCAACAAGCAACAATACGACTACTACTCGCAATTCAACCAGAACTTCCCTCAACAGGGGGGTCAGGCGGTTCCCGGGGGTCAGTTCCAGGCGTACCCCGGGGTTGAGTTTGGCTACAACCACTTGGCGGGAATGACGGCGTCGCCCGGGATCCACCACGCCTCGCTGTACCAATACAACCAGCAGGCGGCTCCCCAGCAAAACCCTGAGGCGGCGCAACTGCCTCTGATCAACCCGTCGTTGCAGCAACAGATGCCCACCCCTTACTACTACAACTACTCGTACCCTTACTACCCTTACTACCAACTGGGTGTCAACCAGAATGCTTTCGGCAACGGCCAACAACCTCAGCAACAGCAACAGCAACAACCCCAAGGGGGCCCCCAATCGCAGCCTCAACAACAACAACAGCTGCAACTGCAACAAGGCAACCAGCCCAACCCGCAAAACAACTTTGGCCAGCTGATGGCGAGCCCGCTGCACTACTACGGCCAGTTCAACCAGCGCTACCCCGGCTACCAACAATACCCGCCCGCGGGTAACAACGGCCAACCGGGCCAAGGCCAATCGCAAGGGTCGGCCCAGCTGCCCCAGGCGCAACCGCCGGCTCTGGCTGAAGGCGACTCGCTGAACCCGGGTCAAGGCCAGCAACCGGGGCACCCCATCCCGCAACAACCGATGATGCCCGGCTACGCTGCCTACCAGCAGTACGGGTTTGGGTACCAGGACAACGCCCAGTACCGCGGCGGCAACTGGTACTCGTGATGAAATAGTAATGATATATTTCCAGGGCGTTCATCAACGCACTGGTGGTTCTATCGACGTAAACACCCTCTGTAGACGTCAAATGACAAAAATACTCGTATATGTATATGGCTACCAGTCTTAATGGAGATTAACAACTATCTCCGCTTGCATTTGGACAGCGCCCTTTCATTTAGTTTAATTGAGGTTTTAATGGTGTTAACTGTTTGTGTTTGTACTCATCATGTTGAGGCTATAGCGGCGATGGGTATATAGTGCCTGCACTCGAAGATCTTGTGGTGCAGGTTTATAGGGTGTAATGATTTGCATTGTCAATCTTTAGTCGATTGCCATCCATCCGATATACCAATCGTACCGGAAGTAAATGAAAGTAAAAGCTTTAGCGAAGTTCCCTATGTGAACGATATTGGAGTGAGTCTCACGGATCTGGTGTTAAAATTACTTCTGAGGTCACTGGAGCCGTCAGCTAATGGCCATGGTTTCTGCGTTTTAGTTTTTAACACAAATTCTGATGTGCAAACTGGCTGTTACAAATGACGAAGAAACTTTATTGATGTAGTGGGAGACAAAACGAACTAGACATAGGGTTGGTGATAGTTCTGAAATTAATGCTCATTACAAACAAGGCTATTCCCAAGTAGTCATCAATTATTTTAGGATATGGTTTTGACAGTTTAAGTTTGAGTTGATGCTTTTTTTTGCTTAGTACGGTGTACGTTTGCCCCGTGTGAGGGCACTTTGCGTGATTTTTTAATTACAGGGAATGAAAGGTGAAATGACGAAATCACAGTGTCTACATATCGAGCCAATGACGGTCTTTTTAGGTAGCAAGTTACATGTAATTTAACATCACTTGAGAAAACCCGATTGGGGGTGTCACGATGTCGGGGCCCTGGCGTAGGCGGTGGAGAAGCATGCTAATACGGCACTGGCCACAGGCGTGAGGGGAGCGGGTCAGTTGGCACAAAAGCTCAATGCGGAAGGAGGAGGGTTTTTTCCTCACTCAGCGGGGGCGGTGGTGACGCCCCGCGCCCACACCCACGAGGGGCATCGACCGCGTCTAAACCGTCGTCGGCGACGTGTAAATGGCTTTCTGGATGGTGCGATCGCTTGAGCGGTGTCTGATTAGCCCCGAGGTGTAATTTCGCCGGCGTGGCGGGCGGGGCGGGCGTGACAGCGGGGAAAGTGTCCTCACCATAGTTGCTATTAGCCCCTTGTGAGTGACGCGAGTGCTGCCTGCACACAAGCTTGCCACTGAGAGAGCAAGTGCCCTTTAGCGCTACAGTGAGAAAAACTTACACCACACTAACAAAAGTACGTATTCCCATAGTATGGGGTCCCTCAGTGGGGCGTCAGTGAGTGAGGGTAGTGAGGGGGCAAAGTGAGCACACCCACCCACGCCCACAAGTCAATGCCACCAAAACGAGCGAGCTACGACCGGATTAACACCGTCTACCGGACCACCCTGGCCCAACAAGGGGGGGGCGACGACGACGGCGCCACCAGTCCCACCACTACTGCCACCAACGGCGACGCCAGCGAGAAATGTTCGCTCGCGCACAGGTGCAGCGGCGGCGGTAGCGACGCCCAGCGCAAAGCTACGACGCTGGCGACGGTGGACGGGGGGGCCGTGGTCAAAAATTTGCCTCTGGGGCCGGGGGCCTGGGGGGCTGGCGGCTCCACCCACGACCTCGGTGTTTTTGCGGCCGTGTGCAGGTCTTGCGAGAATTTATTGGTGGTGGGTGGTTTGACGCCCGCGACCCCACTCACTCACAAGTTCACCGCGCGCGCGCGCGCGTGGGTTATATAATCGATGCCCGCGCGTCGGTGGTCTACAGAAATCCAAGACACTAACAAATTCTAGCTTAGCGATGTCGACTGCGGAAAAGAAGAAGGTTACGAGAAAGAAGCGCGACCCCGACGCCCCCAAGAGATCGCTCTCGGCGTACATGTTCTTCGCCAACGAAAACAGAGACGTTGTGAGATCGGAAAACCCCGGGGTGTCGTTTGGCCAAGTGGGTAAGCTTTTGGGGGAAAAGTGGAAGGCGCTCACCAGCGAGGAAAAGACGCCCTACGAAGCCAAGGCCGAGGCCGACAAGAAGAGATACGAGAAGGAAAAGGCCGAGTACGCTAAGAAGCAAGCTTAGGTGCCCGGACGGTATCGCGCACAAACAACGTTTATTTTTTCTATTATTATTAACTTGACAACAAAAAAAAACCCACCAAAAAAACCGACTACCACTGTTTTCGCGGTTTGTTTTTTTTCCAATATTTCTTTGATTATGATGTTGCGGCCATTTGTTTTACCGGCCATGTGTTATATGTAATTGTATTTTTGCGTTTAAAAATGTATGTACTAGTACTTGATCTACGCCACTTTGGCCTTCACCGCCGCCTCAGCCCGCGTCCGGCTGCGGTGGGCGCGCCGCGCCCTCAGCGCCCCGGTCAGCTCGGTGTCGAGCATGTAGTCGAACCACCGGAACAGCAGGGCGTAGTTGCCGATGAAGTAGTGGTGGTGGTCGTCGTGGTGGTCGGCGCCGGCCCAGAACGGCACAAAGTGGTGCAACGACCAGGGAAACTCGTACCCGGAGTGGGCGTCGACCGCCTGCCACAACCGCAAGCTGATCCACACCGCGATGGTGAACAAATGCAAGTCGGGCCACTGCCAGTGCGGGTAGCGCGCGGCGAGGGCGGCGTAGATGACGGGGAACCCCACGGTGCCAAAGCCAAGCAGCATCACCTCGACCGGGTGGGCGTACTCGGCGGCGAGGCCAAAGGGGGCGGCGTAGCGGTGGTGCTGCTTGTGGATGTGTTTGTAGAACCACCCGACGTGGAAGAGGCGGTGGGCCCAGTAGTGCCACATGTCTTCCAACACGAAAAATAGCGCCACCTGCCACGCCACCGTCGTCGCCGCCGGGAACGGCACCAGCACCGCGATCTTAAGCTGGCGGCACACCGGGTGGAAGAGCCAGATCGGGAGCGCCTCGACGACAAAGTGCGATTTGAGCACCAGCTTGAGGCACTCCCACTGCTCGGCGTCGGAGGGGAGCTTATCCGGCTGGATTTTGTAGCGGCGGAAGTAGGGGACCCGGTCGATGATGTACCAGGGGATGCACCGGCCAAAGTACATGAGCTCGTGGACGAGGAAGAAGAGGAGCCCCGTCGCCACCACGTCGTGGTGCCACCACTGGTACCACGCCTGCCAGAGGCACTCGAGGCGGGTCAAGGTGGTGGTGGCGGCGAGGGTGGTGTAGTGGTCCCAGTAGCCGATGGCGGGGACGGTGGTGTTCATCGTATGGCTAACGGATGAAAGCGGGGGTGGTTTAGGGGCTATTATAGTCAGACGACGCCGTCGGGGGCGTCGATCGGCTGATGGCGTCGTTTCGCGGCATGGCCAAGTGGGGTGATTCTAAGGTACGATCGAGGCTACGCCAACAAACCCCGGTGCAGCGGTACGACGCCGAAATTGTCTGCAGTCCCTAGTAACTCTAGTAGTACGAGTCAAGGCAGCGAAACCTGGCGAGGCGTGTCTCGTACGACAATATGCACCGATCACAGACTCTGCGCCACCAATCCGGTGGGTGCTAGTGATGAGATAATCAGTGTTACGGGTGTTTTAAGACTTCCTGTAACTTCGTTGACCTGCCTCGACGATGAAGAAGGTGGCTTATGGGGTGCCAAAGCGCATATATGTCCTGTCAAACCCCGTCGCACGTAATATGCCAAACGATCGGACTTTAACAGTCAAACGAGGCACAGAAAGTCTATTATATACACCCTGCCATTATATACACTCTAAAAGAGATATACTAGATGCTAGGAAGGTGTGGTCGTCGCCGTCACTCAAATATCGAATATACGCTTACCGCGTTGTGGTAGAACCCACGCCTACAGAGCTTGATTGTAGATTATGGAACACTCGTGGCCACAGATCGTCTAATGATTGTATATTATAGATTACGACACGGGGGGGCCAGTTACAACACGCGCTGCTGGGGCAAGATGTCGACCAACAACGAGTTGTCGATCGCGTGTAAATTCAACCCGTTGGTGTTGCGGTAGTGGGCGATGTTGGCGAAGAACTTGTCGAAGAGGAAGCCGGTGTCCTGGGGCCCGCCTTTGGCCTCGGGGTGGAACTGGACCGAGAAGATCGGCTGCGACTTGTGGATCATGCCTTCGTTGGACAAGTCGTTGAGGTTGGTGAAGTACGGCTCCCACTCCGCGGGCAAGGTGGCGGCGTCGACGGCGTAGCCGTGGTTCTGCAGGGTGATGTGGCACTTGCCCGTGACCAAGTCGAGGGCGGGGATGTTGTGGGCACGGTTGCCGTACTTAAGCTTGACGGTGGTCGCCCCCAGCGCCAACGCCAACAACTGGTGGCCGAGGCAGATGCCGAAGATGGGAAGGTCCTTGAACTGGTCCATCGTCTGCTTCAAGTTGTGCGTCGTCTCGAGGCAGTGGGTGGGGTCGCCGGGCCCGTTGGAGATGAACACCCCGTCGAACTTCAGCGCCACCTTGTGGATGGGGTAGTCGTAAGGGAACACCGTCAACAGCGCCCCGCGTTGCACGAGACACCGCAAGATGTTTTCCTTGGCGCCACAGTCGAGGACGGCGACGTGGTAGCCTTTGGAAAACTCGGGGGGGCACGCGATGTGGAAGGGGGCCTTGGTGGTGACTTTCTGGACCAAGTTGACGGCGCCGGGGTCGTCAAAGGCGGCGTCCTCGTCGGCGTCGTACTCCTCACCAATGGTGATCTTGGCGAGCAGCGACCCTTGTTCACGGAGGTACAGCACCAACTGGCGGGTGTCGACGCCGGTGATGGCGGCGACGCCCAGGCGCTGGCACCACTGCTGGAGCGACTCGACCGCGGTCCAGTGCGAGTACTCCAAGGCGACGTCGGCGACGACGACGCCGGCGCACTGGACGGTGGGCAGCTCCATGTACTGCAACAAGTTGTAGACGTCCTTTTTCGACAGCGACGGCACCCCGTAGTTGCCGATGAGGGGCTGGGTGAAGCAGAGAATCTGGCCCTTGTACAGCGGGTCCGTCATCAGCTCGGGGTAGCCGACAAGCGACGTCGTGAACACGGCCTCCCCCAGGACGTTTTTGTTGGCGCCGAACGAGTACCCGCTGAACACGGGCCCGTCCTTGATCGTCAACGTCGCCCGGTCCAACGACCCGGTTTTGTTGGTGAACTTGGCGGCGGTGGCCAAGCGTCTGGCCACGAGTTTGGCAGAGGCGAGCATGGCAGAGGCAGTGGGGGTGGTGGAGATGAGGGAACTGGAAAAATGAGTCAGTACCGCGCTAACGTCACTAACGCCATTACCCGATTGGGAGGGATGGGTCATGTCACGTGAAATATGCGCCCGCAGTGACGTCACCGGCGATCCCAAGCCAAAGCCAATGATGAGTAGACCTACAAAAAAAATTAATGCTATCGTTTATTATGAACCTTAGGCGGGCTGGGGGGAGTAGCCGACGGTGACGGGCACTTCGCACACCATGGCGTCGCCATCACCTTTAAGCCGCACCACCACTTGGAGACAGTAGCTGCGCCCGACCAAACACGTTTGGAACGAGGGGATGACGTTGACGTTGGCCTTATTGATCACCACCAACGGCACCGTCGCCCGGAAGCGCGCGTGGCCTCCGTCGCTGGCCCACTTGTCCGGGGCCAGCGGCGTCCACGGCTGGAAGTAGCCACCAATGACGTCACGCTTGGCTCGCAACGTCCGCGCCAGCTTGAGGAACCCGCGTGTCGCCCGCGACACTTTGAGCCCCGGGTTGGCGTCGATAAACCCTTGGTACGCCTGGGCCCGTTTCTGGAGGTGGGCGAGCCCCTGATCGCTATCGGCAAAGAAGTCGCCCGATATCGCAAACGGCACCGGGAAGTCCAGGCAGTACGACCACACCACCATGTTCACCTCCACCGACGCCACCGCCGGCGGTTTCCTCCCCTCGACGCCAGTAAATGTAAGTTCAAGCGCAAGCGCCAGCGGCGCCACGGTATCGTGGTTGTAGCGCATGAGCAACGTCGGCAGACTGTAGCTGAGCATCGCCGGCACTTGCGTCACTGCCGCTTGACAAGTGCCCACTTTCGCCACCAGTTTGAGGAGACCACGCTTACTCAAGACAGTGACGGGAGCCAGCACCACCACTGGACGCGGCTTCGACGGTAGTTTAGATGTCGCCAGCGCGTCGGCACCCTCAAATAAGTGCTTATCTTTAACCTCGCCGCTGATGTGGGCGAGTTGCCGATTGATATCGTGCTCGATGGCGGCAAATTGCGCCGCGATCGCTTCCGATGTCGGTAATGCCGGCAGTGGTTCCGGCGCGGTGGGGACAAAGCGAAGAAAGTACTGTGCTTGCTTCAGAATCACGTACTGCTCGGGGTCGTCGATGTCGTGTTGCAGAAACGGGACCAGCGCCGCGTGTTTGCGGTCGATAAACTTCGCCTCGATCGTATACGAGATACTGACGTTGTCCCAGCCAAAGTCCTTAGTGAGCAACGGCGTCCCCCGCACGTCCAAGTGGCCGTAGCCCAACACTTTGTTCACTTTGATGCCGCCGGCTTTATTGTTAAACCCCGTGTGGTCGACGCCAAACAGCGGCGGGGCCGCGATGTGGGGCTCGAGCTGGGTGGGGCACACGTTGTCCAAGAGGCGGCTGGGGAAGCGGAAGGTGAAGAACTTCTTGTACTTGGTATGTGGTTGAAGCACGCGGGTCTCAGGGAGGGCGATGATGGTGCCGTCGTGGGTGTCGCGGGTGTGGGGCGGGTACTCGATCCCCGCCAGATTGGGCACCTGGATGTACCCGTACAGGGCGTGGAGGTCGTACATCCGCAAGAACTTCTTCATGAGAATCTTATGGTACTTGGCCGGTTCCCCCGCCGGCGCCGGCTCGGTGATTTTGATCAGCCCTTCCAACAGCACCGTGAAGAGGCCAAACGTCTGGGGGATGGCGGTGGTGTTGGTCACCACAAGGTAGCCGTTGACGAGGTCGCCCAGGGTGTAGTGTTTGAGGCGGGTTTCCAACTCGTTGTCGGTGTAGGGCTCGGGGATATCCTTGGTGACGAAAATCTGGATGTCGAACGGCAGCGACAGTTCCTTGGGCACCCGGTCGATGTTGTCGACGATGGAGCTGCCGTAGGCCTCGTGGAGCACCGCCACGTTGTCGTTGTGGAGCTCGATGTCCTCCTGGGTCTCCTGGTGGTCAAAGGCGGCGTACTCGTCCAAGGGGTTGGTGGCCTCGTGTGGAGGCGTGTAGGCACTGGTAGCCGCGTCAGTGCCCTCGGTCTCGTACTGGGGGGGCTTTTCCACTAAGTTCTCGGTGAACTGGTGCTCGTTGCGCTTGAGAATGGCCTGGTACATTTGGAATGACGGGAGGATGTCGTACACCTCCTTGGTCTTTGACGGGCTCGGCGACGGCCTGAGGGTGTTTTGTGACGGCGAACGGGCCGGGGGAACCTCGTTGGCATTGGCAGCGGTGGTCGGGGAGCCGTCAGGCTCGTAGGGCGGCGGGTGCCGAGTGAGGTTCATCTGGCGCTGGTGCCGCGGCGGGGGAGCGGTTGTGTATACAACTATCCCGGACCAGAGCTTGTAACTCAAGGACGAGCGAGTGGCTGAAACTTTCGTAAATAAAGTTATGGGGATTCTTCCGAAAGATGATAGGGCTATTTCCAGATCCTGATGTGGCATTCCTGTTATTACTTTACTGCATCAAAAGCTTAGTCCCAGGTTTACCCTGGTTGTATCAGAATTCCATTTTTTATATGTTCAGCGATCTTTCTACATTTAGTGTACTAAGGATGGGTTCGATAATCCGAATGAGACTCTAGATGATGATTCACGGCTCGGGGAGAGGTCGTAAATAAACAATAGTATAGCCGTGAAGGCACGGCTCTACATGACGACACGAAAAGCCGGTGGCACTGGAAACTGTTGGAGTCGAACCCACGACATACTATGAGGAAAAGAATGAATCAAAGTGTCCGATTACGCTTCAAGCTTTGAGTCACTGAATGGCGGCTGGTCCCTCACATTTCCATTGACCACATAAGCTCACTCAGGTGACTTCCGTGTGTGCTAGGTTCTTATTTGCTTACTCAAATTTTGGTTTAAATGGGTGGAATTGACCATTGCTTATCTATACCCAATGCCAATTGGTGTGGGATTTCCACCATAGTACCGCGTCCATGCCTTTCGTTACTTTCGCCATCAGTTGCTCCAGGGCCGTCAAAACACGCACCACACCTTGGCTTTAAAAATCAGACGCCATCCAAGGCAAAATCGGAATTCGCTGTCTTCAATGCAACCAGCAACCTCAAGGCAAGGCGAGATGCAGATTTCTGAGACTTGTGATAATTTTTCGTCGGTAGTTTTGATTGTAACCACGGCTGCTCTTCTATTAGATTTAGTTGTCTCTTCCATGGCTGTGTTGAATTGATTGCAAAATGCCCCCATTGCAAAGTACGCCATGATGACTGGAATCACACCGCTGCTATCAGAGAGACCACGAGAGTCTCCAGCAGAGGGCACACCGACTTCAGAGGGACGCAACAAAATGAACACCGTGGAATCATGTCAACCACAGTCATGTCAGAGGCAAACAAGCCACCGTACTCTAGTGGAGAAGTAGCCATGACCAAGCTTGAAAGTGTGAGAAGATAATAGCGGGACAGGCTCGCCATTTATGCTATTCGGCAAAACTCTCGGAGGAAAAATTTGTGGTTGACGACAAAGAATACGTTCTGCAGTTGCCATTGGTTCTCATTGTCGCCTCGTCAACGGCTCCGCCCAAGTTGAGTGCATCGTCTAGCATTTCCTTATCGCGCATATCTGTCAAGATTCTCGACGCACAAATACGACGCCTATCGTGACCACAGGAACCCCAATTCTACCCCACCCAGAAGTCGGTGTACTCGGTTAACTGGCTCACACATTTCCTTGGCGAAGTACGGGAGTGGGGGTGTTGGTGCCATTGTGGGCGAACACATAGGGAATGTGCCATTGTCGAGAACAATCGCTTATATTTTCTATGGGCAGAGGGCTGGACCCGGGCCTAGTCACTATTGTGCTTTCATAGGTCTCAATGTGCGTCGTCCTCGTCAATTGTTTCAAAGTCTGTTATACAGTATGTTTACGTGAGCTTTTCCCCTCGACTTAGCGAAGGCTGCTCTCAGTGTCAGGTAAGACTCACCTGGTCATATTAACTTATCGGACGCAATTTTGTTTTCGAAACTGTTTGTATAAGTCATGACATCTACATAGTGAACCCACTTTATCCTTCTCCTAACTCCTGTGATCATTGTCAATATGAAGGAATCTGGACTTCATCATTTGTCAATGATATTATTCAAATGATAAACTCTACATTAATGTCATTACTAGTTAATCTCAAATTCGTCTCCCAAGATGAATTTCAGCTCAAAGAGACCATCCATGGTACTTTTCAAATTTATATTAGATATCGATTATTGATCAAGGGACATGCCCACGTCCGCCAACCACCGGAAATACTCCTGGCTGACGTCGTTGACGGTGACGATATCGTAGCCCCCATCCAGCTTCCGCCGGAGCCACTTGTCGTCGTCGTCGCTGAACCCCTTGAGGCAATTGAGAATGATGAGATACAACTCGACGATCTTCAACTTGAAGTTGTCGACGTCTGGGGTGCCTTCAAGCGACAGCCGCTCGAGGCGGAACCGGGTGATGAACATGTACAACAGCTCGACGGCGCCGCGCTTGTCGGCGAGCTGGTCGTCGATGGTGCCGTGGCTAAAGTTGTCGGCGGTCAGGGCGCCAAACAACCGCCACAGGTAAAGGTATTGGTAGATAGTCAAGCATGCCAGAAGCGCCAACTCGTTGTTGGCAAGCTTCAACAAAATGTCGTCAATGAGCGAAAAGTTGGCGCGGTACACCTGGTTGCGGTTCGGGGCAAACAACACCGCGATCGCCCGGTGGGTGACTAAGTGCTTGACGAAGCGAGTAAATAATTGCTCGTGGCGGGGGTCCTGGGGCAGAAGCAGCGCGAGCGCCAGATACACCGAGTCGTAGTCGTCGAGACGGAGGGCGAGGTCAAACTGGGTGGCGTACAAGTCGTTCAGCGGCTCTGGCGACGCCGCAATGGCTTTGGTTTCAAAAGTGAGCGCCACCGCGGTGTAACGTTTGGCCTCAATGGCCGGCGAGTCCAGGTCGCGGGCAAGCTGGGAGAGCGCCTGGTAGTAGGCGCTGGCGTCGTTGGTAGCAGCGCCCGTCACCATAAGGTCCACCGCTGGTTTCAACGTGGCGTTGACCACGAGCAGGTCGCGCAATTTATCGGCGTCGTCGGCCAGTAACGCCACAGGGTCATCCAATATGTCGGCAAACCGGTCGGGATCGCCGGTGAGGAGGTAGACAAGGGCCACAAGCACTTTGCCCACGGGCGAATCAGGGGCCAACTGGTCGAGTAACCGGTCGCGCACGTATTTGGCCTCGCCGGCGTTGACGAGCTCGATGACGACGTCGACCACCCAGTTGGACAGCAGCATCACCGTGCCCACAATATAGTCGAAGGCGTCGTTGAACCGGCGGTGACGCACCATCCACCCAAGCTTGGGGTGGCGATTGACCACTGCCGGCCACACCACCGAGTAGCGGAGCTGGTTGAGGTGGCGGCGCTCGATCTTAGCCCCCGGAGGATCGCGGGTGAGACAGGTGTCGATGGTGGCGGTGAGCAGGGCGTGGCGGTGGAGCCAGGTGAGGATCTGGTTCAAGTAGGCGATGACGTCGGCGGAGGGGTCCATCATGAGGAATACCACCACAAGCTCGCCAAGCACTTTGCTATGGGCGCGAGCGATCAGTTTAAACGCCATGAGCGTCGCCTGCTTAATAATCGGTGAAATCAGGCTGCTGTTGCGATGGTCCTGGTCGAGAATGGGCACCGTCGGCTGCTCCACAAGCTGGTTGAGGAGAGTAATGACGTTGTCGACGTTTTCCACCGCGGCGACGACGGCGCCGGTGTCGACTGCCGGCGGCAAGAGCGCAAATAATGGCGCGATATCGGCGGCGGTGACGTGGCGAAGGCGCATAAACAGGTGAACGACGCGATGGACGGTGGCTGGCGACACTTCGGCGACAACCTCTGCGAGCACCGGTGCGAGCCCCCCAAGCAGCGACTCAGGCAGTTCCCAGCGGTGGGCGGGGCGGAACACCCCTAACCCCAGGTCGGCGTGCACCGCGAACGCCTGGTGGCCGTCGTGGCCCACCGCCAACAGCTCGCGCGTCATCTTGGCGTACTCGTCGCAGAGCCCCGCCAATGTCATCCACGGCAGCGGCGATGACGGGAGCAGCGCCACCACCGCGCGGGCACGGCGCCGGAGCAGCAGCAGCAGCGGCGGGTCGGCGCCGTGGTGGCGGCACACCACTCTGAGGGCAGTGTCGACGACGTGGGGCGAGAACAGCCCCAGGTTGAGGATATAGTGTTTAGCAGCAGCGTCGTCGGTCACCAAGGGTGCCGGGAGCGCGACGTCGTCGATGGCGCCGATATCGACCAGCTCGGGCGTCACCGTCACCCGCTGGAGCCGCAGCGCCGTGTTGTTCTTCCAGAGAATGTCAAACACAAACTGCTCGCGGGCCTCGGTGACGATAAAGTCCTGGACAAACCACATCGGCGCCGCTGGCGCCGGGGAGAAGCGGAGCGCCGGCACGAGGGCGCCGGTGGTGGCGTCGACGACGACGAACTCGACCCGGTCGGCAGCCAGCGTGTAGGCGACAGCCACGTGGTTACCGACGGCGCGGAGAACGTGGGCGGCGGTGGGGGCGAGCCCGGGGGCGTCGTTGCCGAGCTCAACGGGCGGGTGGGCCTCGCCGTGGCGCTCGAGGTGCCAGAACTGAAGGGTTTTCGCCACCAGCACCAGCACCACCTGGCCGTTGGCCGTAGTCACCGCATCCACCACTGCCGCCAGCAGCACCCCGTCGACGGTGGTGGCGGCGCGCGGCGCCGGGCGCCACCACTTAAGCGGGTTCAACAGCGCCGGGCCGGGCGCCGGCGCCGATTCCATCGTAAACACGTCGCAGTCGCCAAAGAGGTGCGGGCGCCGGAAGTGGAGCAACTGACCGTCGCGGAGGGCCACTAAGAGATTGGACGAGTCGAGCAGGTGGAGGGTAAACGGCGCCAGCGTGAGCTCGAACGAGTACGGCACCAGCACGTGGCCCCACTGGGGGAACCGCTCCAACTGGTAGGCAAACGGCAGCAGGTCGACGACAAACAGCTCCATCAGCAATTTGAGGGTGATAAGCAAGTACTCGCTGTCGATGGCGTTGACAACGACGGCGTTGTCGTCAAACAGCACCGCGATCAACCCTGGGGCGACGGCGTTGGCCAATTCGACCACGAGCCGCTGGTGGGCAACGCCGAAGTTGTTGTCGCCCCACACCAACGGCGTGAGCTCGAGCTGGTGGCGGGTGAGCCGCCAGCTCACCTGGTGGATGAGCAGCGCCGCCCCCGCCGCGGGGACGGCGACGACGCCGCCGGCGACGGCGAGGGCCTGGTCAAAGTCGGGGGAGGCCTGGCGCGGCGTCCCCACCGGTAGCCGGATGCTGTGGGCCGGATACAGCGCCGGGAGGGTGTCACTGGTCGCGAACCCCATGGATGGTGATGAGTGCGTGGGATGCGCTTTGGTAGGCACTAACAACAAAAGAACGCCAAAACGGCGCCAGGGAAAGAGGGAGCTTTTTTGGGGAAGGGGGAGAGGGGGAGGAGGGAAGTTCCAGAGGAGAGAGCAAAAGAAGATATTGGGGTAGAATTACACTGTAAATATCAGGACGAAGGGATTGGCACCGTCAGGAGTCGATCGCGAGGGGTACGGCAGTGGTGCGAGTATGGTTGTGTGGTGGTAGTGATCGTGTGGTAGAGGTGCGAAATCTTCAACAATCTGTAAAATTGTTGACTACGACCAAGGAGTCAATTAAAACACACATTGGGTGTTAAGATTGGTGGTATCCGCCAAATGATGTCATGTAGTGGTTTACAATGCCAATAGTAGCCGTCAATAATGCCTCCGGTCCCCTCCCCGTCTGCATTGTTGCCACCGACGACGCGTCGTCTCGTCAACCAAGCCCCCCACTCCACATAAACATTCCCGGGTGACACTGCATTAGAAGGCTGGTGCTAATTTGGTGATGGCTCTACGATAATTCGACAGATAGTTAGGGCCTGTTTTAGTCTAGTTGGAAATGCTCGTGGTCGCCTACGCCATACAAACCGCTTACGATGACATTATTTTCCAGACTAAACACATAGACGATCGAGACCATCGCGGGGCACGTGAGGGGAAACAGGTCAGGCATGCCTCGTCAGCGGGGCCCCAGGCTGTTACCAACCCCTCCGAGAACAAACCGTAGACGCCGCTCCACCCGGTGTATAAATACAGAGGGTGTGCCCCCCCCCCACCCAAATCCGTGCCATTGAAACCAGGACGGGGGATGAAATTGACGAGGCTATGAAATCATGAGCTTCGGTTGAACCGATGACGCCACTCGGGCTGGGTCCCGCCTGGTGAGGCCGACCTTATTTCGAATATCTCACTATGATGCCACTCAAATTACTGTTGTACGTTTTCTTTTGTTTTCTTTTTAGTTTTTTTATAGTTTTTTTTTGCTCTGATTGAACACATACGAAATACACGGAAGCTTATTCAATGACACTGTAGATACTTTTGCAAATCGTCTCGCACGGGGTGTCACCGAGATTGTCCTGATAACGCCCTTTATCAACAAATTTGTTCTGTGCGCGGAAGGCAGGGTACCTTAAAGGGGGCGGCAGGCGATTAAGCGACACACCTCGGGTGGATACACCAGCGACACCAGCTACACCGCAGATAGCGTTCCCCTCTCCATCACCACTGTTTGTTGCCACCCATTAATAACAATTGGGCCAGCGCACAACGTGGTGCACACCCCCTATCAACGACTGATCATCCCTTGCGCCGCCATGCTCCCCATGACCAGCTTGACGCTGATGTTGGACACGGAGTTCGGCAACCTCAGACTATCCAATGCCGACACTGTCGCCGACGGAGCCCTCGTCCTCTTCAAGCCGTCTGCTGCCGACGACGTTGCGCCGCCAGCCCCGAAATGGAGTCCCAGTGGGGCCACCTCCACCGCGTTAGTGAGACTACACCGGAAAACGCCCAAACCCAGAAGTGGCCATGTCGCCAGGGCCATGGTGAAGCTTCCCCAGCCGCAGCCACCGCAGGAGCTGGACTTGAAGCGGTGTAAGACCCATTACGGGGTGCAGACGACCAAGCGAGGCGAGCTTTGTTTCCAACGGAGAGAGCAGCGGCGGATCGGCTTCGCCACGAGTGAGAGGCAAGAATTGCCGCCCGTGCCTCAGTTGGTGTACTTCACGTTTACATGCCCCACAGTGTTCCCCCGCAATTGGGGCCCCGTACCCGCGTACATCCTGACGCCCCAGGGCCCGGTGCGTGTCCCCACCGCTGTCCCCACCTCCGACTTTACCTTGGAGTGTGCCACGCCGTCCCTGAGTGCATTTAAACCCACGCTCATCAACTTTTCGCTGCTGCGCGTCCCGCCGTCGGTTCTGCCGTCGGTCCTGCCGTCGGTCCCGCCGCCGAAACCGCCGCCGAAGCCGCTGCCGGCTGCCAGTGCCGCCAATGTCTCCAGCGTGCCGTTGTCGTCGAAGGAGGTCACCACGGATGCCCGCCGTCGCATCGTCGTCCCCAAACTGGTTTTGGGACGCAAGTACGTGGTGAAGCTAGACCACGAGGTGTACCCAAAGTAGCGTGATTACATTGATTCAACTAGACACCACAGACACGACCATAACATCATCCTCTCCCATGGAAATAGCCTCGTAAATATAGTGATGCACGGGTGCGATCGCCTCGCCGAAGGGTCGCTCCATTCCACCAGCTTCCACCGCCACCACCGCTTTAAAAACTGGTTCACGGAAAATATAGCTTTTCAACAAACCATAACAATCCCTAACAGTCCCATAGATCGTGAGAGTGTCGAGTATCTCGTCGTCGAGAGACAGCTACCACCACACCATACATCGCGCGACTCGCACCGTTAGCCCGCCATGTCCTCGGTCGTCTACTACCGGTTTCTCCACCAGAAGGTGCGGCTGGTGATCCATTTCGACGGGACGTCGATCCTGGTGTTTGACCTCAAACGCGAGATCATCATTGCCAACCAGCTCGGGCTGGGCGTCGACTTCAACCTCAAGCTCTACCACCTGGAAAACCCCAGTCTCGAGTACGAGCTCGACACCGACATCATCCCCCGCTCCACCTATGTCCTCGTCAAACGCAGCCCGTCACACACTCGGGGGGGTCGGTTCAACAACGCCCTGCGCTACGTCAGCGGCAAGCCTCGCATCAAGCGGGTGCCGATGGCTCTGGCGGCGACGACTGCCCCCACCGTCGGCGCCGTCGCCGACGAGAACATGAGCGAAGAGGACCGCATCAAGATGATGTTTGCGGACCAGCTGAACGCGTGGGCCAGCGCCCAGGACGAGTTGGCCCAGCACAAAGTCATCCACTACAGCCACGCCGCCCCTGGCGCCGCGGCGGCTGGCGGCGCCCGCAAGGACGATATCCCCCCGCCAGGGTACATCTGCTACCGGTGCGGCAAGAAGGACCACTGGATGAAGAATTGTCCCCTGATCGCCGACCCCAACTTCGAGAATAAGAAGATTTTGCGCACGACGGGTATCCCGAAGTCGTTGCTTCGAACGATTAATAAGGACGACTTCAACGAGGACAACCTCACCAAAAACGAGAACGGCGAGTTGTTCGACAAGGACGGCAACGCCATCTTGGTCACCGAGGACGGCGACTACGCCATCGCCGTCGCCGACTCCAAGACGTGGAAAACGTACCAGGAGAAACAGCAGAACGCCGCCGCCAAGCAGAAGCGAGAGTTCGACAACAAGATCATCGCCTGCGTCGAACAAGACAAAAAGTTACAGTTTCTCGACCCCCTCCAGCCGGAGCCGACGCTTCTACGCACCCCCATCGTCACCACGCCCTGCTGCCCCACCCCCGACAAAGTGAACAAGCTTAAGAATATCTACTACCACCAGCCGGACTTGGAGCAGACCCTCATTGAAAACGACTTCACCTGCCCCAATTGCGGGGCCGAAGACATCTTCATCGACCTGTTGGTGCCGGCCCCGCAATTGGAGAGCGACCTCGCCCACTACATCGACGAGAAACAGAAGGAACTCGACATCGCCGACCCCGCCAGCCGCAAACGCGAGCGGGACGACAGCCCCGACCCCGACGACCCCGACAGCAAGCGCGCTAAAGGCGACGACTACCCGATGAATAACATGCCGTTTATGCCGTTCCCGATGTTTATGCCCCCTCCCCCGCCTCAGTATAAGTAATGATATAACATATTTGCTAGCGATTTTCGTAAACCCGTCAACCCCTCGAGTTTGCACCCTAATACCCCTGGCGGTCGAGTTACCCTACCGTGCCTGCACATAGTCGCGAGGGCTGGCTCATCGCACCATTTAACCTCGAGAAAAATTTCCTCTCGTATACCTCGAATACCAGTAAGTTTGATGATGACAAAACAACAACCTTTTACAAACTAGAGTCTATGACTGCGGAATGGTTAGAAATGTTAGCAAATGCCCTGACATAAACTAACAATTGAAGGAGAAATGGCGTCCCCGACCTCACTGGGAAAGCCTAAGGGTCCTCGGGGTTGTTCTTGGACCACCCGCCACGTTCTATACCGGGGAGATTATGATGACTGAACAAAAACAAAGCTGGAATTACTGGCTGAATCTCTATGATTGATAAGTTTTTGCACCATACGCTCCTGAGTCGACCTCGGTATGAGAGTGGAGGGTGGGGCCGAGCCCAACCGCGGGTGCCTGTGACGTGGCAGTAGTAAGTACGAGGAGGAACCATTGCACTGGGCACTGACCTGGATGAGTGACACTGCATTATGGAGGGCCTCAGAAACCCATCCGCGACTGAGTACTAACGATAGAGGTATGTCTAATGATGATATTTCTAGATGACGAGTCTGATTCGGGCTTCCCGCTGAAGAGACTTTTTTTTCAATAACCATTCATGCTTTACTGATATGACTAACAATTACAGATGGTGCTACCACCAACGCAAATCCCCACATTTTGGTTTGGCAATTTTCCGATCCACGCGGGTCCCAGGTGACATGATGAGATTGACATAAAACAATGACAAGCATATGTCTGAGGTTCACGCAGAAGACACCGTCAATTCTGATCCTAACCTGGCCCCGCCCCGCGTGTATTGGGACGTTGACAAACCCGTCGCCGGAAATCACACTTTGCGGGGTTGAACGCCGCCAGTGTGAGTTCGGTGCCGGGGGAGAGCGGGTTGTCGTTTATGATGATCACACCACACTTTTCACGACGGTCTACTGTGGCGGGGACTGTTAATCCCCGCTTCTGATGATAAACTAGGCCTTGACCGGCCGTGGTTCCTGACAACGACCCCGCTCTGGTCACCGTAGAATAATCGCCCTCACGCCCCGGGTGGCGAGTGCAGGCGCACTCCCCCCCGCGGTGGCGGGTGCGATTGAATAGCACGCCTTCGGTGATGACGACAATACCTTTGTTTTAGGTGGAGGCACCCCCGGTGATACTTAAAAACAATTCGATTTGCATGTCAGTCTGAGAGCAGCGTCCCCCTCGTAGTATCCGACCGATTTCCTTCTCTTTGAAACCGTTGACACGTCTCGCCCAATTTGGCTATCGTAGTGTTCGATTTTTCTCATTCTCGTAATTTTTGAATTTTTTTTTTTTTTTTCCGTTGGCAGCTGCGCCGCACCATAAGTTTCCATAGTCCCCGCAAGCCACAACAACCCACCGACGACCCATGAGCAAAAGACGAAGTGTCCGCCGAGACGCGTACACCAACCGGCGCAACGAGCTTGTGGCCACCTACGCGCTGTTTATCCCCAAGCTCCACGCCATTGAGATCGCCGACAACGACGACGGCCTCGTCAACGCCTACTCGTGGTTCGTCGTCTACGAGGGCATGTACTACCGCTTCCTCGCCTTCGAGCTGTACCTCGAGAACAGCGAGACGGCGTTGACCAAACACGAGCAGGACGCCCTCCACGCGTTGAAGCGCCGCGTCCGCAACCTCGAGGTGAGGATGCTGCCGGTGCTCGAACGACTATGCACCGAGGTGCCGTCGTTGCTTAAGCTACGCCACGAGCTCAAAGAGAACGCGCGCGAGGGCGGCAAGATCGCCGCCCACAAGCGGTTGAAGGAATAGCGCCCGTCGACTTACTATTGAACACTATTTATCCGATGTTGCCCTTGATGTTCCCCGCCCCTTTCGGGTTGGCGTCCTTCCAGTCGTCCCACGCCCGCTGTTCCCGCTCCTCGTCCAGATCGTACTCGTCGCTGTCGACCTCCTGTTTCATTCCGTTGGGGTCTTCGGCGGCCATCTTGCCGTTTTTAAGCTCCCAGTCCAAGTACTCCTCCACCGTCATCAGCGGGAGCACCTGACCGGTGCCAAACACTTTCAGCTTAAGTTGGTTGCGGTCCAGAGTGATGGTGAAGGGACGGAGAATCTTCCCCTGGCGGGAAAGGAGATCGCCGGGGGTGGCGTGGTGGCTGATGGACTCGACGCGCGGGGTGTACCCAGTGGGGTCTTCGGGTGCCGACGGCTGCTGCTGCTGCTGCTGTAGTTGTTGCTTGCTCGAGACGTCGGCGTGGTCGGGGATGTTACCGAGCACTTCCAACTCCATCGCCACCAGCTCTAAGTTGGAAAAGGCATTGAGGATATGGTACTGGATCTGGTCCAAAAACACCTGGCGCACCACCAGCTCGTCCAAATTGCCGAACGACTCGTCGCCGGGCTTATAGTAATCGTCAAGAATGTTGAGCTTAGCCTCAAGTTGCCGCGCCTGTTTGTAGTTGTCGATCTTTTGCTGGCGTCGCGCCATCGGGTTGGCGGGCCCTGCCAACTCCGCCGCCAGCGGGTCGTACAGCAGTTTGAACGAGTCTATGCGCCGCTGTTGGTCCTGGTTAAGTAGGTGGTAGTTCAGACACTCGATAAGAAACCTCACGTAGAGCCGTTTGGCGGTGGCGAGGGCCGCCGGCTTCTGGGCGACGCCGGCGTCAGTGCCGGTGGCGAGATTCACCATCAATTGGCTCGCCACCCGGGCCCCGTAGTAGGGGCAATTGAGGAAGGGGAGATACGACGTCGTCACCTCATCGATCCCCTCGTTATCACTGAAGAGATGGAGGCGGTCGATGATTTGCCCCACGAGAGCAAACTCCTGGTACAAGTCCCACAACCGTTTCTGGGCCTCGGGGGTGTCCTGACGCCCGCTCGGGTGGTCGATAAGCTCACGGAAGACGCGGGTATCTCTAAGGAACCGTTCGCCCACGGTGAGGTTGGAGAGATCGTCCGCCATTATCGTCCTAAGCAAGGGTCACCGATCGGGCGCGTGAAGGGTACAAGTCGTGGCCGACGCCTTAAAAGAAAGCAATGTTCTACTAATTAATGAATGTATCAGGCATCGGAGGAATGAGATAGTTGCACTACAATTCTATTTTCTTGCTATTTCAATAGATTGGTGGAATGGAAACGTCACCTATACCAGGGGGACTATAGCCCGCACGGCTTATACTATATACCTCGTTGAAAGTGATGAACATCCCGTTAACAAATATCATATACTTAAAACCATTAATATAGATCAGATTCAACTTTGAACACCCGATAAATGGTGAAGAATGTCCAAGTTGTCTTGGTGCTGGAGCACGTGACCTTATAAATAGTTTTTTCCGTGGCGAATCCGACGGTACGGGCCATGTCGACAACATCGTACTACGAGCTCTACCGGCGGCTGACGATTGGCTCGACGTTGACCGACGCCCTCGACACCCTCATCAGCGACGAGAAGATCCAGCCCCAGTTGGCCATCCGCATTCTCCAGAACTTCGACCGCATCATCTCCGAGCAGTTGAAGCAGGACGCGGGGATCGCCAAGCTGAGACTCACGTTCAAAGGGAACTTGGACACCTACCGGTTTTGCGACGACGTGTGGACGTTCATCATCAAGAAAGTGATCATCAAAATGACGGACTCGCTGGGCGAAGGCTCGGGTGATAACGAGATCATGGTGGACAAGTTCAAGATCGTCGCCTGCAACTCGCGCAAGGCAAGCGACCAGTAGTATTGGATATATACCCGATATACCCTCTATAGTCACGACCTAATGTACAAAATATCGTCAGGCTCAAGTAGATTTATTGTCTATACCTTATTGGCGTCGCCGGGGCTGAACTCGATCACGGCCCACTTGCCCAGCGCCACCCAGAAGTGGCCGTCGTGGCCCATGGCGGTGTACTTGTTGGCGATCTCTTGCCACTGGCCGGGGGCCAACCCCACCACCACGTCGGCTTTGCAGGTGCGGAGGGCGACGACGGGGAGCTTCGACGACGCCAACTGCTGGATGGCGGTGGTGAACGGTGTCGTCGGGTCCCAGTGGCGGTCACCCGTCAATTTGCGATAGTTTAAGTCGCCCTTGAAGATAATCAAGTTCGACTCGAGCAAGTCCTCGTACAAGTCGTTGGCCTCGGGGAGGTGCCAGAAGCTCAAGTCGAGGGTCCAGAACGGGTGGTGGTCGACTTTAAGCTGACCCCGATCAAGGTACTGGCGGAGGGTGTGCTGCAAGGTGGTCAACTCGGGGTCGGGGGGGAAGAAGTCGGCGTCGCCCAACTGGTGCAACAACAGGTCGACGTCCTTGGGCATGGTGTCCGACACAAACCACGGGATCTCTTTACAGTGGAGGTGGACCTCGGTGGCGATGTTGGTGGACAATAAGCACACGCTGAGACACAAGTCGGCCAACAACTCGAACCCGGAGTTGTCGAGGACGATGTCGATTCTCCCTGGGGGCTTCAGCCGCACCTGGCGCCACACGGCGTCGATGTCGTTGACCAAGATGTTCTGCTCGTTCTGTTTCCGCACCTGTTTCCCTTGGAGCAGCTTGATCTCGTCGATGGTGGTGCCCCCGGCCAAAAGCGACAAGTCGGTGGCGTTACCCCAAAGCGAGATGTCGATGAACTCGCGGAACACGAGGGCAAGGGCGTCGTCGTCGAGCGGGGCGGTGTCGAGGTGGTTGACGTGTTTGGCGAGCTCGGCCACCCCCGCGGCCAGCTGTCTGAACGTCGAGTCTTTAAGGCGGCTAAAGATGTCGACGTTGGCGTGTAACCGGAGGTTAAGCGCCTCGATCATCGCGTACAAGTGGCACTCGAGGTAGAGCCACGGCCCCGTCTGCCACGTCAATTGCCGCTGGCGGTTGAGGCTGGCAAGCGAGTGGTTGTAGGTGGCGAGCAGGGGGTTGGCGGCGACGTCGGCGTCGGTGAACGGCGCCACGGTGGCGTCGGCGTTGATCTGGTCCAAAATCAGCTCGAGCCCGGCGATGTACGCGGCGCGGACGGGAGCACCGACGACACTCTCGGCGTCGGCAATCGCCTGGGTGAGGATCTTGGGCCATCTCGAGCGGGCGGTCGAGTAGCCAAACGACTTGGGGTCGTCGTTGTAGTAGTAGTCGGGGACGGCGGTCATACACTAAGGGGCCGCGCTCCCCCGAAAACGCAAGCCAAAATAGACACCACGCCAGAGCCTTAAATAATGTCAATGGCGAGACATTTGTGCCTGACACACCCTGGTTTACGATGAAGGAGTGGTTTAGTGGTTGGCTTAATCGACCTAGGCTTTGCAAGATGATGTTAACGAGGATTTGATTAGTCGCTCGATACTCGCAAGCGCCCGATCAAGTAGATCGGGGTGTTTCCACGTTTATGGGGGCCGTTGATCGTGGTAAAAACAAAGTACTGTTTTGAGGGTTGACTATCAGTCAACTCAGCTTCGGGGCGGGTCCCGTGAGAAGATATCTGGGATACTATGACCTGGACCTTTCGAGAAGCTGACTGGAAGCGTGGGGAGGACTACAAATTGTTACACGGGGGTGCGATACTAGCTTCCTTTATTCCTTTCTATTACTTTTCATTAATATACACCAAGCTTAGTAGAAGGTCGAGGGGGTCTTGTAAGCGTACAAGTTCTTGTTCTTGACCACACGGTGGGGCAAGGGGAACTTGAGGTCCTTGGCCACCAATTGCTTGACGTATTGTCTCTTGATGTCGTCGACGTTTTCGATTTCCACCACCTTCAAGATGTGGATCGATCTGAAACGGGCACGGTGACGCGCCGCCAAGTCCTGGTACATGGTGGCGACGGCGCCGGCACGGGTGACGTCACGGTACTCCTTGTACATGTTGTGGGTACCCGATCTCGAGTCGTATCTGATCCAGATGCCGAAGGTCTTCACCTTGGTGGGCTTGTCTTCCGAGATCTCGTTCAACGACACGATTTCACCCGAGGCGGGCTTCACCTTGTGCAACTGTCTCATGAAGTACCAGTAACGCGAGCGGGCGACGGTGGGGTTCTTGGCGAAGATGCGCAAGCGGTAGAGCTTGGGCTCGGGTTCGGATTCGGTGGGGAGCCGTCTCCCAATCACGGCATATTCGTGCATCATATTGTGAGTGGTTGAAAGGTGGGTGGGTTGGTGAAAGAGTTTTTCACAACTGGCAGCGGATGGGGATGCTCGCGCGCGCAGGTAAAAAGCACGTGACTAGGGTTGGCGCCCTAGACGATCAACCGACTAATAACCCCACCGGGGCCCACCGCCTAAAATAACTAAGCCGTCGATGGGAATAACGTCAGTTCAACGCAATCATCGCCTCCCGTCATGGTTATAAGTTTCCGTTAGCTGGCCGCCTAGTTGGTGGTTACCTGTCTCAGCACCCTTGAAGTCACGTGACCTTAGCCTCACTCACCCTCACCATCTCCAGAAATCCACCCATCATCAGTAATATGACGTATAATGGGTTTCGTCCTCAGGTCCAGTAGGAGCGTCATTGCCATCTTTAGGTTCACAGAAATGAGTCCGTCGTTGCTTGAATCAACAAAGACGCTAATAGCATGAGCTTGTAGAATGAAAAGGAGGGTGCAACGTTAACCACAGTGGCATCGTTGATAGGGAAAACCAACTGGCATCTTGTTAAAGGCTCATCTACTAGTACACTTAGTGAAATGAGCACGATCAGAGGAGTGTCTTACCGTGAAGAGTATGATTGGTTAGATGATCACATTTTTCGAGAAATTTGGAAATTATCGACACCAGTAGAAGTCTGAGTATCACGTCCGCTCAGCTATCAGAAGAAGTGTTTACGCAGGATATGTGGAATCTATAGCGGTGAGTGATAATCGAATCATCCCTCGATGAAGCGTAATTCTAATAGCTCATCAATATACGTTTCACTGCAAGTATACTAAGATCATTGTGGTGAGAAGAAGGACGTGGCGCGCGTCTCGCTAAAGTATCACGCAGATTTCGATCACAACACACAATCCGCTTCCCTGCCACCAAGCATTATTGATGTCGAAGCCTCCACTTTGATGAGGCTTGCTCGACGATCAATAAAAAGACCAAGAATATTGTGACACACAATCATGCCGTGGGGCAATAAAAAAAAGGGAAGTGGAGAGTATGCAAGCTTTTGACTAAAGAAACTCGAAACATCCACCCGCCTCCCCAACTTACTTGGTTGATTTTTGCCACCCCATTCTTCGTTGCTGTTGATACCGAAGGATATGGCAAAGAGAGCCAAGTCTGTTTCCTTCGAAAGTGACTCCGACTATAGCGCTGACGATAGTCGACCAGCCCTCACGGGATTACAGCTTCTTCAATTGGCCCAGTCAGCTGATACGCCCGACGTGCAATTACAGGTGGAGGTGGAGACGCTAGTGGACAACCATTTGTTCATTGCGCCCCACAGACACCTGATTAAGTACTTTGTGAAGGCACTTATTGAGTTGTTTAAGCGCCACCCCTCGGAGGAGCTCTCGGTGCAGTTGTTAAACTTGGTGAATTTATTCAGCCAGCGGAAAGTGCTCACCGCAGTTCCCGAAGACGACTTTCAGGAGCTTGTGCGGCTGATTGTGCCCTTGACCGGTTTCCTCTCCAGTCGCTTGGCGGCCACCGCCATCCTTAACCTTTGGTTGGGCTTTCCCGAAGAGGTAGCGGAGGCATTGTTGAGCAGAGATTCGAAGGTGTCGCCGTACGTGGCCAACGCGGTGTTGCCTCGACTTTTGTCTGGCGAAGTCGACATATCGTCGAAGAGTGCCATCGGCAAAGTTGCCGAGTTGATGACAATAGCGCTGACCGATGTACCGGCGGAACCCTTGACGTTGGTGGAAGAACACCGCAGAAAGTTGCCTCGTAAAGTGAGGAAGGCATTACACGCAAAGTTGTTTAACCCTAGCGAGACTCCGGAGAAGACGCCAACCCCGCCTCACGCTACCACCTCCGGCGAAACTATCTCCAATGTATTGTCTCTGCCCTTGCCACGGCCGCTATTAACCACTACAATCGAGGAGGTGGCTTATAAGCAAAGCCCGAGACGGACTCCGACTATCAAAAGCGACTTAACGCCAGCAAAGCGACTGGGATTGATGCTGCGTAGTGGCGTATTGCCAGCTAAACGGCACAAGCCGTCAGCTTCTCAGAAGAGACCTAAAATGACCTTCGCTGAATTGATGGAGCGGGCGAAACTTGTGCCCCCAACCTTGGACAACTCGCCCTTCTCGGAAATCACCTATGATGAAGACAGCGATGATGACGCCCTCAACAGATGATGAGTAAAATTTTGAACCTTGACGACTTACTGAGACTGATGTTTTCGCATTGTTATCTAAACTAGCAAATAATGTCACACACACCGAAGAAGTAACTCCAACTTCATACACACTGATGCTGCTGTAAATCGAACGTTGATAGCCTGGGGAATATCAATACGTTCGTGTGTAGTTGTTGACGTTCAACATGCTTTTCGCATTCTGGTATTCTCAGCCTATACTCTCACCCGAAGGATAGCGACAACTAGAACCAGATCGCAAGCGATCAAAGCTGTGCTAAGTACCAATGAGTTGCTGACAACTAACCGTCACGGAGGGTTCGTTCAATTTTTCCGTGACCTTTATTGCCTATAAGATAATCTGGTCAAATTCCAAGTACCACCATTTATGGCTAGAGAAGAAATTCCCGTCAATCCCAACAGGAGCTTCGACTTCATAAAAAAGCTCCCCAGTGAACTCATTGAAGAGTTCTTTTGCCTGCTCCCCAAAAATTTGGTTTGGGATGTGTTGAACTCTTCAAACCAATTTCTTCCAGAATTCAACCCACCGCACATTTCTGAGCCTTGGTACCGGCGTCTTGAAATTGAACGCTGGCTCTTGAGTCTGGTGTACGTGTACCGCGACTTTGAACCGAGTTTAAATTGGTATAACGACGAATTGCAGCGGTGGTTATTGCTCTCTAAGAGCCAATACGGCGAAATAATACACCAATGTGTTGAGTGGCCATATGGAGTTGTGCTTTTCCTTGGTAGTCGTTTCGTGTTATTGAATCATACGAGAAACCGCCGGCGTACAATCCGGGCTGACCAGTACTGGCTCCACCCTGACAAGGGGGGGAATGTATGTGCAATTGGCCTTCCCTTGAGATCAAACCAGCACTTTTCACGGCTAACTTTGGATAGCTACACCTTTGACGGTTCCGTCTCTACCAACCATAGGGTGGACAGTTTGCAACTCAATGGGCGTCACCCTCATCTTGATCGGGTGATCGATCTCAGTTCTGTGAAGCAGTTGTCTGTGTTAACCCCCCGTCGTAATGGTATAAAAGTTTTTGAATATGCTTCCAAATTCACGCTGTTGAAGGATTTGTTTGTGTATAGTCCTGTTGCACCTGAAATTATAGAGGCATTTTCCAAGACTGTAACCCGCTTGGTATGGGTAATGGACTACCTCAACCATGACAAAATTGCCGAAATTGCGGCCAAATTCAGCCTACTTACGTATTGTGAGGTTACCGAACGTGTGGGATACTACAACTGGCCCCGCATCTGGCTTCAGCCGGGCGGGTGGCCGGGCGGGTGGAGATCAGCACGACTTTTGATCTCTATGGTATTAAGGGAGTTTGAAAAGCACCAATTTGCACAACTCAAAACCTTAGTGCTACTTGACTACCCGCTCCGTGTCGTTCGGCGTGAGGGGGGTTGGATAGCCACCGAAGATGTTGAAACTGGTCAAACGATCACAAGCTTAATACTTAGGGGCAGCTGATGTAGCCGGTGTATTTTGGGTTTGCCAACTTGGTGAATCAAAAAAACAAAAACAAAAAAAACAAAAAAAACAAAAAAAAAAAAAAAAAAAAAAAAAANAAAAACACAAAAATTTGTAGTTTTGTATCTGTTGGTAATGGCCTAATAGAACCACTTGTATTCGAGTCTAATCTATTAAATTTCCACCGAGACGAGCTTGAAGATCACGAGTATATCTGATCATGCATCTAATTAAGTCGCGGGTTGCGTTGGCCAAAACAAACCCCTCATCGGACTTTCCTCAGTTGACGCCACCACAACACAGCGCCACCACCAACATTGAGTCATGGGAAGTACCACGTTTGAAAGTCTCCCCAGCGAGGTCCAGCGCAGCGTCTACGACTTGCTCGACGTGCCGCTGGTATGCCGGGCCTACGTCGCCTTCTTCCCGCGAGCCAGCGCGTCGCCGGCGGCGGCTAGCCTCAGCACCCGCTCGGTGACGGTCAAACTCGATACCTATGACACCAGTCTCGATAGTATCACGTTCGATTTACTTGCTAAACTTCCCCCGGTCCAGGTCAAGGTGGAAGCCACCATCGGTATGTGGCTCCATAACGTCCATTACCTCAACCAATTGAAGCTAGAACTGCTTGATGTGGCCATCACGGGGGAATACTCGTCGTTCCACGGAAACGCCGGCGCCCTCATTCATCCCATCCGGCGCCTCAAGCTTGAGTTCGTCACCGTCGACGTGTCGCTCCTCCCCACCAGTTTGCACCTGTTGACGATGGAGAACTGTCGAGTGTCTCGCCTCGACGCGTTGATGCGGTTGTCAAAACTCCAACAATTGGTGATCACGGGCAACACCTCCAACGTCAATGGCTTGTACAATTTTTCACCGGACTCCGAGACCAACATCATGTTGCCGGCATCGATTGAGGAGGTCACCCTTCCCAAGCACTGGATGGTGAACACGGACGGGCTACACAACCTCAAACTGGCGAATGTCGACTACTCCGCCGAGCTCCCCTGGGAGCAAATGGAGAAAGTTGGTTCTGGCGCCATCCCCGACGAAAACTACTTGCCGCAGTTGACACTGATGACGGTCACCAAACGAGGTTTCCACAACTCGTTTCGAGGCATTGAATGCCCCCAGCTTGAGTCGGTGGAGATTGCCTTGCTGGCTCGCCTTCATCCCGCACACACCAACGTGTCGGTGTTATTCACCGACGCCCAAATGGCAAAATTGACTCAATTGGACGCCCGCGCCTACGACGTCGTCAGCCTTGATCCGTTTAAACTGTTGCGAGTCCTCAAGGCGACGTTGAAGGAGCCGATAACGCAAAACTTACCGGTGCCACCCACGTTGGAAGAGCTTCACGTCGTGACATCGTTCCCGGTTGAAGGCATCCCGCCCCAAGTGAAAGTGTTCTACGTGCGTATGATTAGACGTGGGCTCAGCGTCACCGTCGCCTCGCCGAACGTGGGGGACATGCTTGTGTATTTCGCCGGGGACGTGTCGCTTTCGTGCCCTCAGCTCAGGCTATTGGAGTTGGGCGAGTGCACGGGGAAGGTGACCCGGGATACCCCTAACTTGAACAAAGTGTGCGTCTACAAGCTGTCGGGCGATGAGTTCAGCACGTGCTCAACGTTGTCCGCTTACAAGTTGATTGACGGCACTCTCCGCGACGGCATCGCGCTCGACCAGCATATGCTCATGTTTACGTTACGAGAAGTGGAAACGCCGTCGGTATCGGTTGACGCCGACCACGTCGAGATCCACTCGAGTTACATCAGAGACAAGCTTTCCGTGAGGGCCGCCTCCATGGTCCTTGGCAGTCTCCCGCATCGTCCCGTGTTTGATGTCAGTTGTGGGTCATTGATGACGTCGTGCATCGACCCCGCGTTGATTCGGGGCGTGCAAGACCTCATCTGTTACCCCGATCACTTCCTTCGGGACGTGTGTCGTTCCGACGCGTTCGAGGGGTGTTACCAGTTGAAGTGTCTTACCATCCGGGGATTCAAAACGTCGTGGTGCCAGGCGAAGCCGCTCGTGATTCCCGCGTCGGTGACATCGCTTATCATCATCGGATGCCATGTCGACGAAATGTGGATTAAGTTTGAGGACCCGTCGCGGCTCGAACACTTGGAGATCACCTACCCGCCGGAGCTGGGCGGCGGGTGGAATCCGCCGTTGATCACGATGAAAACGCTCGGGTTACAGAAACTACCCCCGTCGTTTTTATGTCCCCTCTTCGAAGTATCGTCGTTTATGTCCTGAGACGATCTGGTTGGCGCACGACACCGCCACACCCCCCCCAGACCCCGCGCCGCACGGGTAATCCCCCGGATACGACGCGACGGCGCAATTGTCAACGACACCCTCAATCATCGATTGAATCACCATGTCGTACGGGAAAGCTGCTGCCGAACGGATCGCCGGCAAGACGATCTTGATCACCGGGGCGCTGGCGGGTATTGGCGAGGCCACCGCCCGCGAGTTCGCCGACGTCAGCCACGGTAACATCAAGCTTATCCTTACCGCCCGCCGCCTCGAAAAGTTGCAACAAATCGCGGCTGACCTCAACCAACAGTACCCGGGAATCAAGATCCACACCGTTGAGTTCGACGTGCTGAAGTTGGACACCATCCAGCCGTTTTTGGACAACTTGCCCTCGGAGTACGCCCAGGTGGACGTGTTGATCAACAATGCCGGCAAGGCGCTTGGCCGGGACCCGATCGGGGAGATTTTGCTCGAGGACATCGAAGGGATGTTCCAGACAAACGTGTTGGGGCTCATCACCCTCACCAACGCCATCATCCCGCAAATGAAGCAGCGCAATCTGGGCACCATCGTCAACCTCGGGTCGATCGCGGGCCGCGACCCTTACCCCGGGGGCGGCATCTACTGTCCCACTAAGGCGGCGGTGAAGTCATTCTCCCACGTGTTGCGTAAGGAGTTGATCAGCACCAAGCTCCGGGTGATTGAGGTCGACCCCGGCAATGTTGAGACCGACTTTTCCAACGTGAGATTCAAGGGCGACACCGCCAAGGCCAAGGCGGTGTACGCCGGCACCGAGCCGTTGGTGGCGGAGGATATCGCCGAGATCATCGTGTTCAACGTCACCCGCAAGGAAAACACCGTGGTGGCGGAGACGCTCGTGTTCTCCACCAACCAGGCGTCGGCAGTGCACTTGTACCGCGACGAGTCGAAGATTTAGACGTACGCTTGTATGAGTTATTTATCAACAAAACCAGCATCTCCCTGTAGCACCGCACTCATCCCGACGATGATATTATCGTAACTGCTGTGAAACTAATCCATAACTATGATCGACTAAAAAATAATGTTAATTCATCATGTATAACAACGGCATCAGCTATTGCCATTAAGATACCGTAGAACCTCTTTGCATGTATCCTAAAGTTTTACGCTCAGCAACTTCTAGGTCTGATCCTAGCTTATCCACAAATAGATCAGCCTACGATATTGTTGCTATGATTAAACGACAAACACAATGTTAAACTATATAGGTGTTGGTTTTGCGAAACTGCTCCTGCATATTGCCAAAGGGACCCGCGGAAATCTCCACGTTACTCCACTTTTTCCGAATCCCACCCCATGCTGTTTGGAAGAAAAGCCGCCGAGAGATTGGCCAACAAGATCGTCCTCATCACGGGGGCGTCGTCGGGAATTGGCGAGGCCACCGCCCAGGAGTTCGCCCGTGCCGCCAACGGCAACGTCCGTCTCGTGCTTGCCGCCCGCCGCGAGGAGCGGCTCAAGCAAGTGCGGTCCCAGTTGCTCGAGGAGTTCCCCAGCCTCAAGATCCACACCCTGAAGTTGGACGTGACCAAAAAGGAGCAGATCGGCCCCTTTTTGCTGGGGTTGCCCCAGGAGTTTGCCGACATCGACATCCTCATCAACAACGCCGGCAAGGCGCTTGGCCGGCTGGCGGTGGGGGAGATCAGTGACGACGACATGCAGGGGATGATGGACACCAACGTCATCGGGCTCATCAACATGACGCAGGCGGTGTTGCCCCTCTTCAAGCAGAAGAACGCCGGCGACATCGTCAACTTGGGGTCGGTGGCGGGCAAAGACCCTTACCCCGGCGGCGCCGTGTACTGCGCGTCGAAAGCCGCCGTCAACTTCTTCTCCCACTCGTTGCGCAAGGAGTTGATCAACACGGGTATCCGGGTGATGGAGGTGTGCCCCGGGGCCGTCAAGACCGAGTTTTCGTTGGTGCGGTTCCACGGCGACGCCGACGCCGCCGAGAAGACCTACGACGGCACCACGCCGTTGACTGCGGAGGACATCGCCGAGATCATCGTGTTTGGCTGCTCGCGCCGCGCCAACACCGTCGTCGCCGAGACGCTCGTGTTCCCGTCACACCAGGCGCTGGCGTCGCACGTGTTCAGAAGATCGTAGACACTCTCCTACACCAGACGTAGCCAATATATATTGCACAGCATCACTAGAACGTCAACTGCTCGAGCTCCTTGCCGAGGCGGGCGGCGCCCACCGCCAGCTGGTCGCCGTCGATGGCGACCTTGGCGCGCTCCAACCCTTGCAAAAGCACACACGCCTGGCACACGGCGTTGAACGAGATGTAGCCGCACCGGGCGCAGCGGTTGCCGCCGATGCTGGTGGTGATTTCGACCTCGGTGGGGGCCAAAGTGTCGGTTTTCTTGACGTTTTTCGTGCGCTGGGTGGCGCGCTTGGTGCGCTGTTTGAGCGCCAAGTGCTCGCCCAGGTAGATGATGTCGATGATGCACAGAGGCCGGATCAGCTCGAGCTGCTTGAGCAACTCGCGCGCGGTGCCCCGGAACGCCTCCGGGGCGTACAGACACTCGGTGGAGAAGTAGTCGAGCTGCTTGTAGTGGGCGTAGAGGACGATCTCCTTCTGGTAGGTGTACTTGAACGGCTTCAGCCGCCTGACGGGGGAGCCGTCCGACGTCGTCACCACCGCCGTCAGCCGCTCGAGGCGCGCCGTGTCCCCGCGCAACAAGTTCATGAGCACCGTCTCGGCGATGTCGTCGGCGTTGTGGCCGGTGACGACGTGGGAGATCCCCAACTTCTGGGCGCCGCGGTCGAGGGCCTGGCGGCGGAGGACGCCGCAGTAGGTGCAGCTGGAGCGGATGCCGGCGCAGGCGACGATCTCGTCCATCGTCCAGTCGTACAACTCCTTGTACAGCAAGATCTCGAGGTCCATGGCGTACTGCTGCTGGTTGCGCTTGACGGTGGCGAGCGAGTCGTCGCGGTAGCCGACGATGCCCTCGTCGATCGACAACAACACGAGGTCGACGCCGTAGTCGTAGCGCTCGTTGAGCGTCTTGAGCACCAGGGCGAGCACGGTGGAGTCCTTGCCGCCCAGGGCGCCGATGGCGACGCGGTCGCCGCGGGCAAAGAGCCGGGCCAGCGTGATCGTGTGGTGGATCTCGGTCTCGAACACGAGGAAAAAGCACGGCTTGCAGAGCTTCTGGGCGTTCTTGGGCCGCTTCATCACCGCCTTGCGCCCATGGCAGAGCTCACAGAGGCTGGCGACTTTCGGGGGCATGGTCGTAGGCACGGGTGCGATCGATGGCGCCGGGCGCGATGACCGCGCACCACGAGTAAGCGATGTTGTGGAAAATGAAGACTAGGCAAGGAAAAGAAGTTGTAGAAAATGAAGACTAGGCAAGGAAAAGGTGGAAAATGATCAAGACTAGGCAAAGAGAAGGAAGTCACGAGAAATGGCGAGGTTGTCACGCTGAGGGGAAAGGCGATCAGATCGAGTGAGATAAGAAGGTACAGGTCAGGCGCCAGAGATTATGGCCACGGCGATGAGTGGGGTACCGATGGGGTAATAGCTTGGCCATCGATGACTTCTGGGGACGACATCTCGCCACCCCCCGCCTCGTTTCGGGGTTGTTTGTGGAATTTACTCGTTTTCGGACATGGCCGACGCAGCCAACGGCGGCACCACGGAATAATTCTGTTTTTTGCGTCTTTACGACCCCACCCCACCCCACTACCGAATGCGGCAGTCGAGCCGTGGGTGGGAGCGAAAAAGAAACGACATAGTCGGAGACACCACTAGCCAGTAAGCACAATGAGACAGTAGAGCAGACCATTGAACAGACTGTTAAATAGACATTAAACTAGACCCCCGCACGATCAATGTATAGTCCCTGTGGACATGGGTCACGTTCCTGCCGGCGGGTAGGTTACCGTATTTGTCGGGGGGGAAGCGCTAGTCAGCACAGGGCCTATTGTTGGCGCTGCACGTCTGCCGTTCGTTACCGGCGCTGGGTGGGCGGCAGCAGGCGACAGCGACTAATCGGAGGGCGTGATTAACACACGTGGACGCCTCGACGGGGGGGGTGGTTGTCGGACTCACCATCGAGCAATTACCCACTAGAACCAAACATGAGCGTATGTGTACACGGTGGCGTTTCAGGCAAACATCGGTGCCGCAGACGCCTAAAAAAAAAGACCTCGCGTGCGAGGGGCTGGACCTCTTTTTTCCCCCCCCGCCGTGATCCAGGCAAAGCTAGCCGTGTCTTTGTGGAATGCGAGGCTTAGGGGAAAAAAGCAATAGCACTACACGACGGTCGGCGGCGACGGCACCCGATGGGCCCATCAGCCTCTCCAGGGCCGCCCTCCCCCGCCGGAGACAGTAGCAAGTAATCTGAGGACACACGCCGCCCCGCCTGGCTCAAGATTGTGTCACCGGCCACCCACCCCCAAAAGAAGAAAAGGACGAGGGGTCATCTGTGCCTTACTGTAGATGCCTTACCCCACAGGGTCTGTGGTCTGGGGGCGATTACTGCATCGGGACAAAAAGTCGGCCCCCGCGGGGGCAGCTGGGAATACATTATCGCCGGTGGTGGTGTAGCGTTTTTTGCAGCACGGGTGTAGTGGCTTGTTACTAATTATTTCTTTTTTTTATTTTTTTTTTTTGCAGCACGGGTGTAGTATCCCC